CTTTCTTCCTTTCTTTCTCTCTTATTCCTTTTATAGTTGCATACATTGTAAAATGTTCCCAAAGTGTTGTGACCTTAAAATTTCAAATATTATGTATTTTGGAAAATAAATAGCTGGACAGTTAAAAAAATGTTGTCCTAGTTTGTTGTAATATTTATTAAAACTAAGTCAAGCTTAAAATAAGAAAAATAAATAAAAATAAGCAAAAGTAAAGTAATTTTTTATAATTTTTTTTGAAAGTATTTACTTTTAATTGTTATTTATTAAAATCTCCACATTGTTTTAGACAAACACTCATCATCGAACAGAATCCTGTCAATCTGAAGACAGCTTGTCATCAGAGACAGAAGAATCRTGGCCACCACCTCCAGAGGAATTCTCCAGCATGGTATGGCTAGTCACTATGTTTGTAACATTTTATGCATACATATTTTTGTGAGTTCATTGGATTTGCCAAACAAACCCAAGAGAAGGTTTACAGTTTCAAAAAAAACAGGGATCAATCCAGGGAGGTGGTTAATTAGTTTATGACTCATCGGTTTGTGTTGATCATAAATGTTGCAGCCACTCCTTAAAAAAATCCTGGATCTGTCCCTGTGGGTATCATATTGATTAGATGTGTAGAAAGGGTAAAGTGAGCCTTGAATAACCTCTGGGTTGATCAAAGGCAGGGCATGGTGAACTTGCAGTTTAAACTTAAATTGACCTTGTTGGATTCTGCGGAAGGAAGAAAACCTGGGAAAAAGCCTTGAGTGAATGGAGAGACCCAACAAACCATATTCACATGCAATTTGGTGTCCAGGAATCGATCCTGATATCCAAGGGGAAACTCATTCTTGTATCCTGTAAACTGCCTCTTAGTTTTTCAATCTAATTTTCCTGCATCAAATACAAATGTGGCAGGTTTTACATTATACAAGATTAATATTTGACTGTTGCTCTTAACAGATCCAAGCACAGACTATGGAAAAACAAGGCCAACTTAACCGTAAAAAGATAGCTGATAGTGGGAATAAGAAAATCAAGTAAGTCATAACATTATCTTCTAGAAACTTCAAACAGCACCATCCTCAAGGGTACTTCTTCATCCCTCCAATATAGGTCTGTGTGTAGAGATGGGGCCACCATTTAAATTAGTCATCCAAACCATTTAAAAGACTATTCATTTGTAGATCATTGTAATTACAAATGCAGCACTTCCTCCTCAGTTATTATAAAAGTGTTGATATGCACCTCCTGCATAACATTCTGATGCTTAATTAAATAAGCCAAATTGGTGTTCCTAATGATAATGGCATTTTATTTCTGCTTTTGTTTTGCCAGGCGGCCATCATGGTCTTCCACATTTGTTGTTCTGTTCTCTTCAAACTTGGTGTTTTACAAGGACCAAAAAGCTGCTCTGAAGGTGAGATGGACTTTCTTTTCTTTCTTTTTCTTTTCATGCAAAATGTATTCTTCCATCCCTATTTGAGGATATTGTCATTATTATTTTGTGACTAAKGCTTGGGTAAGAATGTCGAACCTTTTTCTGTATGGTTCCAGAAAATGCCCTGTTTTTTCTCCTTCTGGCTTGCCAATCATGTCAAATTATCTAATGACATTTCGTTTTGCCACTCCAAAAATATACCTTCAGTAAACACTTTAAAAAAACCTTAGTGGGGTTTGACTTTAAAAATTTGAGGTATTAAAGCTTTTTGAGCTTAATTGCTCATTAATTATGTCCAATAATTCTGTGCACCAGTACTTTTCCTTTGAACTTCAGAAAGAATTGTGTTTTCTATAACTAACACTTGCTAAATATTTGTTTGGTGGTTTTGATTTTCAGAAACCTGATCTTCAGCTTGGCAAACCAGAGAGCAGCTGTGAGCTGAGAGGAGCAACTCTGGAATGGGCCCCAAGCTCAATAACAAGGAAGAAAAATGCTTTTCAGGTAAGGTGCCCAACCATAATTATACAGTTATAAACATTTTTCATATGTGTTACTTGTCTTATGATTTGGCAGAAATCCTCTCTTTTATAGACCCTTTTAGATTGGGTGTAATGTGTTGCCCATTCCAGACCATGTGTCATTCCCAAGAGTATCATTTCTTTTTTAATGGTTATGCATCAGAAGACTCATGAATATGGACACAACTCAAACAAAAAATCTTCTTCTCAAGAGAAGGACACTTTCTTTCATAGACCCTGTTTTGCTTGGGCATAAGGTGTTGCCCATTCCAGACCATGTGTCATTCTCTAGAGTATTGTTTCTTTTCTTAATGGTTATGCATCAGAAGACACATGAATATGGATACAACTCAAACAAAGAATCTTTTTCACAATAGAATGACACATGGTCCGAAATGGGAAAATATAACACCCAAAGTAAGAGGTCTAAATTGGAAAAATATGTGCTCAACTTAAAAGGGTCTATTAGACAATAGCACAACTTTGTGGTCATTCAAGCCACGATGAAGATCTACCCATTTGTAGTTATTTTGATGACAAAGACATCACTTTCAATGCTTTAACACCCTTAAGAGTTCAGGGGTTRTATTTTAAAATGATAGGAGAAAGTCATGAATTAGCCAGAGAGTCTAAGTGAACATTTTACACATTACTAAACTATTACTAAACTATAAATGGTTTTAAACTATAACAGTTTAAGACAGAGAATTTTGCTCATTTGCTGTAGCATTTTCTAATCTGCACCCTTATAAAACCCCTGAGTATTAGTCTGGCAGGGGTCTGCACCCATTACCTAACCCTTTGTGCAACAGGCCAGTGGGTAGTGTCCAACTAATTAAGTTAAATAAATCTTGTTCTCATAGATTTGTGCAGTGTCAGGACTGCAGCTTATTTTACAAACTGATAACCAAGGTGTTGGTCAAGACTGGTTTAATGCTATTGCAAGCATTATCAAAAGACTGGTAAGTCATTTACTCATGATATCTTTTAAATAATCGAAATGCAAATCATAAAATATGAGGAAAACTGATGTAAAATGCTTTAAACACCCTATGACCTGTATGACCTCTTGTTTGATGTAAGAGAGCATTCATTTTTTTATGAGGGGGTGGGCCGGAGAAATCCCTATAATGTTAAATCTTTTGTTAAATTTTCGACCTTCCCCTTTATGTAGTATGAAATATTTGATGACCCCCCTTTTTGACTGAGTAGAAATTTAATGGCCCTCTCCTAGATTCCTCCGGCCTACCCCTTCTCCTAAAAAATGAATGTTCCCTAAGCGACCATTAATTTTTTGTCGTGAACCCAGACAAGAAATCTGACCCCCCTGTAGTTGGATAAAGAAATATTTTCCATTCTATTTATTGTGAAAAAGTGCTTTGCAGGCTAAATTTTGTTAATAAGCCCCCATTTTTCAGATAAATCGGTTCGTCATTTGTCACCTCTAACACCCTTTCCATACTTTATAGACCTTCATAGCATCGGTAATTTTGGCTTAATAAAATTAAAATTTTACCACCAACAAACTTTGTAAATTTAATGGATAAAAATCAAATTAAAGAAATAAAATATTGTGCTGCTGCTGTAGTTTAATTCAGTGTCATTTGAAACATCAAAATCGTGTACGCAGTCTATTAAAGTTATCTGTCATCACCATAAAGTACCCAGTATATTGTTACTAGCTCGTCCATCAGCACCATTCACATATCACCTGAGTTTTCTCAGTTTGATCCACATCTCGAGGCCATGCAGTTTGATCGTAGTTTAAGTGTGTATAGAAGAAGCATCAGGGTTTTGTTTCGACGGCAAAAGTCATGCCCGGCAGATGTGCCAAAACTTCGCGGTGTTCGTCTCCTCAATGTACGTGGATAAATTTACGTGTTTGTGTCGTATGAGCAATTTAGTTTCTGTCCTCTTCTTGGTCAAGGTGGCTCGTCAGGACGGGTTTCTATATATTGATGCATAGGAACGCGTTTTTGTATCGTTATTTTGGACAAATATCCCAAACTGGTACCCATTTTATCGTTGAATTTACGGAGAAATCGAAAAGCAAAGAAAGATGAGGAATACCATGTTAATTTTTGACACCATTTCCGGTGGATTATCACTTTGTTTTGTTTGTACACGATTGCTTGGTTTTATTTGTTTGAACAATGTACAAAGTTGTTTTTTGTTAGCAGGAAACGAGAAGAAGCATCAGTTTTAGTTTCTCTTTGCTTTCTTTCCCTGGTATTCTACGGGAAGTTATACTGTTCTAGCAGAGGAAGAAGAAATTATGCAGAACTATGAACGACTTCCTGTGTTGCATGCGGTTTAGGTTTCCAACTTTACCTGGACAAATGAGTTTTTTCAAAAGCATGGGACAATCGTTTTTATATTTTCAAAATTCGGCACAAAAATCGCACCTCAATTCACCTCAAAACGAACCTTTGTTTTATTTCTTGTTTTCACAAAACCTCCTGTACTTCGGTTCCTTTTTGTTTTATTATTATACAGGTTTTCACTCAGTCGTTTTTATAGCTTTCTCTGCCTTCACTTGCTTTCATGACTGTTTTTTATCGTGAGATTTTTGATTATTGAGAATCGATTCTATCTAAAAAAGAAAAGCGTACGCCTTTTTTTACGGTTATAACAGTACATATGGAAACTAGGCTTTATAAAGCATTGGAGTGGGTTGGGTATGGCTTGTGTGCAGCCCGAATTTAACTCTGGTTAATACTTAGGGATTGACCATTAGATAATTGAGGGGGGGGGGGGGGGGTTAAAATAGTTAGTATAGCGGATGCACCTCGTTTTCCAGCCAATTAGAAGGCTATTTAGTAATGATTTCGTATTGTCAATCTTTCAGAATGAAGAAGACTCTAGTGTTGTAGGCACTGTACAAGGAAAAGCCGGTGAGTCACCTTATTCCTATTTTAGAGTTTTTATTACTTTGTGTGAGATAGAAAAACAGCCCTCTCCTTACCCCTTCAAAAATGAAGCAAAAGAGATGATGGTCGAAAACTATGACAGCAGCAATCAGTAACGCACGAAGCTTGATACGTTTTTGATTCTAGACTAGTGACATGTTATGTAAAGTTATGTATTTGATTCTTCCTATTTAACTGGTTTAAAGATCGTAGACAGGAGATGCTCTGCCTAGCAACGTTGAGTTCAATACTCGTACCCGCCATCATATGTGAGCAGARTGGTTACCTGGATATTTCCTGTGCTTCGAGGGGTATTCCGAGTTCTCCGGTTTTCTTCCCTCCGAAAAAATGTACTTCTAAAATGCTGGGGCATTCACTGGAGTGGAGCCTGTTTCTGTTGTGATTTCCTTTTCCCAGGCTTACCGCGCTTCCCAATCACACGCGTGAAATCGTTCAACTTGCCGTCTCGATGAAGTAGGTTTTGATAGACGTCAATCAAGGCGTTTCCATAACGTTCCATAGGCATGTGCCCTTGAAATCGTCTTGTTTTCTCACAATCTGATGGGTACACTTTAATAGACACCTTGCAGTACGTCGAAATGCAGCTCAACTTAGAGAACCTAACAATAGGCTTCAATTTCTTAAGAGATTGAATCTCTTTGTTTTGTCCTCCAAGTAGCCCACTTCTGAGATATGCTTTGCTTGTCACGCAAAAAGGCTTCATGATGGGCTATTGATGGTTTTCAACCATTCCCAAGAGAATTAAATACCAAAAGACACGGCGGCCATGTTGGAGGATATAACAAAAGAATTCATTGACAATTCTTTTGTTACGTTCCTCCAACATGGCCGCCGTGAAAACCATCAATTAAGGTGCTTTGACGTCACATGCAAGTAGTCTGTTAAAATGCACCTAAACGTCCTTCATCGCGATGGCAATATTTGTACGATTTCACGCGTGTGATTGGGAAGCACTGCCTTTAAAGTGCACCTAGCCCCCGATACAATACTTTCAGTATTGATTCTACATAATGTGAATAGTTGAATGGTGAAATATTTCTTCATTTGAATGTTGCGTCTTTAAGTTATAAAGGTTTATACTTCCATTACATTGCTGACTGTGACGTCACCCCAGGCTTTTGAGTGTATTTGTTTTAATTTTTAACACTAAACACTAGCCATTATGAGACATCAGATTTACAATAAACATTGTAGAAACCTTGAGTATAATAATGATTCTTTTTAATAACTGTTTGTGTGAACCAGTCAAAATTTGTATATTTAACTATTCAACTATATACTTTATGTAGAACCAATACTGAAATTATCGTATCAGGGGTTAGGGGCACTTTAAGACAGCATGAGAACTATACTAAGAGAGACTGTCATATTACACTGACGTTATAAAATCATTGTATTATTTTGATTATCGGTACGTACTCAGGACGATGCAGTGCGTCAAGTTACGACAGCGATGAAGATGACAACACTGCAACTACCTCGCCTACTGTCACCCTTTCCCCTGGGGGGATCATAAGATCACTAAGCAAAAAGAGAGGTTGGTTCTCGAAACCATACGCTGATAAATACACTAAAAAAACCCTTCAGTCGTGAACTTGGATAATGATTTTAATTCTAATGGTGACGTCGACTAAATCTGCTCCATTATCGCTAACTTCTATAATAATACTGATCGGTTGTCGCATTAGGAGCAAGATCATTAGGACCATGTCTAATGCAGCTTAACCTTCGTATCTTATCCGTTCGTTATTTTATTCATTCGTTTGTTCCGTCACCTTTTTATCAGCGAAGTCTTTTATTTATTTAATTTATTAACCTTTCTATATTATCCGTTGGTTCTTCTATCTCGTTATTTTGTTCGTTTGCTCTGTCTGCCATAGTTTTATAAAATCGTTAATTTTTTAAATTCCCTAACCTTTGTATCTTATCCGTTCGTTCTTTCGTTTCCTTGTAATTCTACTCATTTGTTAATTCTGTTATTATTATTTATAAAGTCGTTCATATATTAATATTCCAGTTTCGAGTTCTCTGCTGCTCAGGGTTAACCTCGATTTTGTGTAAAATATTCATGTTCCAGTGAATTCTGTGAAATTTGAAAGTGCCCGTATTGTTGAAGCTGTGCATTCTTTACTTTACCGTTGGTATTTGTTAATACTTTGTACAATGATACGAGGCTAACCCTGAGTAAATGAGTCTGTAATCAATTAACCTGGGTTTCAAAACCAGTTCCCCATCTATTAAAAATGAATTGGTTGGTGCGGTTCCTGATCACACCTTTTTGGCCCTCCCAGTTTTGATTAGGAAGACTTCACTTTTTCACCTGAATGGAAGGTAGTTTATTTCTGTAATTTAAATGTGAAATTTGTATTTGATTTTCAGCTGTATTGGATGACAATAAATCTAACATCAAAGACAAGCTGCTTAAACTGATCACCAGAAGACCACCAATAGAAGAGTTAGAGAAAAAGGGAATCCTTATTGGTTAGTATGCCATGCTGAATAAGTTGCCGCCTAGTCGATAGACCTCTTTAGGTTGGGCGTAATGTTTTCCCGTTCGTAATAATGCGATTTTTTATTTGAGCTGTATCCATATTCATGTGTCTTCACAAGCGCAGTAGCCTGCGTGCAGCCAGACTTTGACTCTGGTTAAAGATTGGCTATACGCAGGCTACGAGCGAGGCCGTTAAACAAATAATGATACTCAAGGGAATGACACTTGCTGCATGTCCATCCGGTTGAGAAAATTTGTCATTAATGTATTTGTAACAATATTTTTTTAAATGATCCAATTTTTTATTCCTACCTCCTATTTTTGTTTCATCGTTTTATAACTTTCTTAGATTTAGACCTCTTACTTTGGGCGTCACATTTTTCCATTTCAGATCATGTGTCATTCTCTTGAGAATAAGATTCTTTGTTTGAGTTGTATCCATATTTTTGTGTCTTCTCACGTGCAACCGTTAAACAAAGAAATGATACTCTAGGGAATGACATGTGATCAGAAATGGGAAAACATTACGCCCAAGGTAAAGAGTAACTGTGTAGAATGAGGAATATAGATGAGCAATGTTTTCTCTGCTCTCTATCAGAACAAACCTTTGGGTGTCCAATCCAGCATCTCTGTGATAGGGAGAAGACTACGGTACCAAAATTTGTAACTTCATGTATCCAAGCAATCGAAAACAGAGGTACGTGTAATTGATTGTTAGTTACGGTCTATCTGTTTCGTCTGTCTGTCTGTTCGGCATGTCTACTAGACTGCCTGCCTTCTCTTTCTTTCTTTCTCTCTCTCTCTCTNGTTCATATTATTTAATTCATTTTTAAATATATCACATATTATATGTAAATCTCTTTCTTATGAAGTACGACTTTCATGTAAAGAAGTGTATGACACTTATGAAACTATCGTCCTCAAATAAAGGTGCATTCATTCATTCATTCATTCTCTCTCTTTCTGTCTCTCTCTCTTTCTGTCTCTCTCTCTTTCTGTCTCTCTCTCTTTCTGTCTGTGAGCGCTTTTAAAAGTATTTCATTTCGTCTGTCTGTTGTCTGTCTGTCTGTCGGTCTGTTTGCCTTCCCCCATTCATTGTATGCATATTTCATGATAGTCTATCTTTTCTTTTGTTTATCTGTTTGTCTGTCTGTCTGTCTGTCCGTTTGTTTATCTGTCTGTCTGTTCATTTGTTTATCTGTCTGTTTGTCAGTTTGCTTATCTGCCTGCCTGTCTTCTAGTGTATGCACTCTATCTCATCGGTTTGTCTGTGTGTCTGTCCGTTTGTTTATCTGTCTGTCTATCTGTCTGTTTGTCAGTTTATCTGTCTCTTGCCTGCCTGTCTTCCTGTGTACGCTTCATATCTCATGATAGTATAATCTGACTGTCTTTGTACATAGGTTTATCATTTGACGGATTATATCGAGTGTGTGGAAATGTTTCATTGGTTCAACGTATCAGGATAAGTGTTGACCAAGGTAGGTGTCAGGTCGCCCACAACTATAGCAGACAAAACAATGTGGCTAAACCCCTCCTTCCCTCCCAGCATCTTCAATGTGAACATCAGCCTCCCCCAAGCTCAACATTCAAGTCTAGCTTAACTCAGTCACAAACAACACCACATCTCAGAAAGGGCATACACAAGATTTAGTTTAGATTAAATCTCATATGACTGAGAATGTGCCCTTCACACTGCAGCGTCACGATACGACATCCTTTGATCTAATCACTGCACAGCGCGCGTGATCATTTCTTATCCAATAAAAACCCTCATACACGGTAGCATCCCTATCACGGCAAACGAAATCTGTTCCATTGTATCGGTAATGATTATTTGGTGCGTCCAAAGGGTTACGGTATCTGACTATTACTGATTCGTGTCTCACTCTATCGCAGAGGATCCAATCCAGCTAGGTGTTGGTCCCTTCGAAGACGTACACGCCCTGACGGGATCCCTAAAACTGTACTTCAGGGAACTACCCGAGCCACTTATACCATTCGACTTCTTCAGTGGATTCGTAGAAGCTATAAGTAAGTAAATATAGGAATTTGAAAAACTTAACTTACCCTAAATCTCAATCAAGTCAGGGCACAGCTGAAGCCGCGGGTACACGAGCAATATTTTACTTGCACAGGCCACGCGAAATAAAATCACTAATCGCACATGTAGCTATATCCTTGCACCAAGTCACCAACGTGGGGTGAGTATCGCACGTGTAGTCACCGTTGCTCAGCGACAGGACAGCTGGAAAAGGCGCAAAATAATGTCGCGAGAAATTAAATCAGTTTAGTTTTTCGTGGCAAAGTYGCGGAGTTTGTCAGTCGTGTAGTCACTCGTGTACTCGTGTAGTCACGACTTTTTCCTTGCACTGGCGACGCGATTTTCATTGTTCACACCGCCTAGATACGATCCGAGAGAGTACAGTATTTCTACATTACTATTACGAATTCGCGTTTTTCTCAGTCACTAGAAATCCTATAAAGAATCAATGTCAACTAATGTTAAAACGAAAAAATCGAATAGTGACCTTGGGGTATAATTTTTCCATTCCTTTTATCTCAAGTTACAGTATTCCCGTTGCTATAAACATCTTTACGCCCAAGACGGAGTAAATGAAATTCAGAAAATAGGTGGCCGTGTTAACTGTTGTTTATCTCTATTTCTCATTGTAGAACAAAACACACGTAGCTCTAAATTGGGAGCTCTTAAAGGCCTTGTTGGTCAGCTGCCGAAAATCAACTATGAAACCCTRAAACAGCTCCTCGGTCACTTGACAAAGTGAGTAAAACGAACGAAGGGAATACCATTAAAAACCCGGTAACATGTGCACAGAACGTTGTCATAGAAGGCCCGAATAATGGAGTATATGCTTAGTTATCAAAACTATTTTTATGTGACTCTTCATTTGAACACATTTTTTTGAATAGAGCAGGATTTGCGCGCGAAAATCTTCCGGCGCGAATATTGCGTTGACGGTGCCGTGGCTACGCGTTTGACAGTATTGTGCACGTTAGGTGCATAGCGGCGAGGTTACTAGCAATCTAGTAAGAATAGTCGGGAAACAGCACCGTCATGATCAGAAATACGAATTCACAGGGCAGCTTTTGTAGGAATGAGAAACGTACCTTTATGCTGATTTACGTACGTGATCGGTAACAACATGATTTACATCAAATCTACTTGCCGTGAATCTACACAGTTTTCAAAATTTACCATTTACAGCGATTGGATGCAGCTAAAGCGTGACATCGTGGCTACAAATTTACTCACTCAAAAGAAATCTAAAAAAGCTGATAGCATAGGAATGTCGAATAGGATTAAAATATTGTTTTCTTATGTCAACAGAGTAATGAATGAACGTGAATCAAACAGAATGCATGCCCAGAACCTTGCCATAGTCTGGGGACCTAACATGATGAGACMACGCTACGAAGCAGCTAACATGGCCATGAATATGGTCTATCAAAACCAGATCATTGAATTCCTACTCCTTGAATACAAAGAGATTTTTAAGTGATAATCAAGCAGTTTATATAGGTTATTATTATCAATTTTCAGAGGGAGTATTCCATACAATTCAGTCATATTGACTCCAATAATACATCTACTACTACAATTGACAACATCAAAGCAGACATTCATATACATGCGAGTCAATTTAAGATATTATCATAAGCTGTCATGCACTACTATTCAACTCAGTATCTTAATATTAAGTTCAGCAAGTTTTTCCACTTGAGGTGGTAAGGGTTTCAAGAGGCTTAGTGTGGCTGCCTTGAACTGAGAAAACATTCGTATCTTTATATTGCTTTGGTCTGTGGAAGTGACTTAACTTGAAGATGAACTAGGGCAGTCAGTGATGGTTTTCAAAGAAACACTTAAAATGACAAATATTTCTTAACTAAAAATTTCAATCCCAGCTAGGGAGAACAATATAATATTAGTAAAACATTTCTAATTGGTTTACCAGTGATTTTATACTTGTAAGGTTTGTGTCTTTATGATAAATTGCAAGATATTCTTAGGCTACAACTAATTATTACTATATAACAAAATGACAAGATAAATAGTAGTCATGTTGGATGACATAACAAAAGAAAAGAAATACAGCTTTTGTAAACCATGCAACATGGAAGAATAAATATTAAATGTATGACTTAATTGTTTTTAGATTCTTGAAGTAGGTACCTTTAGTTCGCATTTATAGATAGATAAATCATGACATTGGTAAATACTGTGGCAAACAGATTGATTTTATAAATTTAAAATTTCACTAGTTTTCTGGGTCTATCTTGTCATTTTATTTAGTTATTTTATATTCTGTGATTCAAAGTACCCAGCATTTACAAAAACTACAATGGCTCTTAGGTCAGATGTAGCAAATTTGCTGAGGGCTTGGACTGGCTGGTGYAACATTGCTGGTGACTTTTCCAACTTTTCCTGCAAAACCATAAATTAAGGAATGTCGGTTACCCATTTCTGGTCAGCGTACAGTATATGGGAAAAGTTAGTATAGAACGTCATGCCATCATCACAACAGTGTAAACGTGTCCATGATGGTTGTTGCAAACTATATTTGCAGAAGTAGATATTGCTTTTACTTCTGCAACATTGCAATGTTGCATGCGATTAACTGTAGCATTGACAGTTTGTCCAAAGCTCTCTGAAACTAAAGCAAAGTATAAAAACAGTTTGACATTTGACCAGGGCTAATAGAAATTACAAAGCAGGCTGAATTAACAGGTATATGAAAGTAATACATATGTAACTGTGAACATCAGTCTTGAAGGCATTAATTTTGATAAAATATATACATTTATAAAGATAGGATTAGAATGTTATACTGCTTCTTGATACCTTGCACAGATTATTGTAATCATGTAAATTTTGGTAGATGTCAATCAAAGCATAATCTCTATGACATCCCACATACCCTTGAAAACTTGGTGTTTGCTGACAATCCATATCCATACCTCCCCCCCAAGCACAGAGGAAAAATCCAAATTTTCTTCCATGCAAACTCTGCAAACTCTGTTGGGGGGGGGGGGGGGGTATATGGATAATTTCTGGAACTACACAATCATGGCAGATCATACGATTCTGCTCTTGTTATTGAGAAGCAGTGTAAAATCCCAAAAAACTCTAATATAACTTTTGTACATATTTATTAAAATATTGTGCCATTTTTACTGTGTTTTCTCTCTCTAAGAGATTTAAACTAAATTGCAAATGAATCAAATTTAGTATACTAATTGTGCATTTTAATTTGGAATAAATAGAAAAGAGCAATCCAGAACATTTTATTTTTTTCTTATTTGGTCAGACTTCAGTGGTTTGGATTTCTTGTGACATGCTGGTGTCTGGTTTGCCGATAGATAATTACAAAATTATTARATATTTTTTACTAGAAACAATTATCTTTTAAAACATTAAAACAAAATAAAACTTACCAAGTTGTTAATGGGTTTTGATTAAGCTGGGAAGAGCAAGTTGTGATGCCATATTTATACTTTGTATTGAGTAAGTGATGTCTGCGACACTTGCCATCAGAGTGTAACCTATGTGGACATTGTTAGGCCCATCATGCACCCTAATTCTTTTTTAAAGTATGGAGAAATGCTGTATTTATACTTTGTATTGAATAATACTTGCCATTGTAATATAACCCATGCATACTTCATTCGGCCCATATAATTTTAAGTTTTTAGAAGAAATTTTTTCAGATATTTAGTGTGTGCATCATGTTTTCTGTCCACAAGAAATCTACCCAGGAGACTAACTATGATCTAATAGAAACAGGATACTTGTATCTTCAAAGGATTGATATTAGTGATCTGTCAACTATTAGAAAGGTTTTTGACAACAGTTTTATTCAYGCCTTTATAATTATACTTGGCATTTGCATACAGCAAACTAAATGATAGTAATTGCAGCTCAGTGTTGTTAATTAAATTACATATACAGTCAAAACATATTTACAGTGCTGAGTAAAGTGGTGTATAAAATCTGTAGCTCAAATGCTTTTAGTTATTGAACAATTTCAAAAGAGATGATTAGAAGTCTTTAATAACAGTGACAGAGCAAGGTATGGATTGATACCTTACAGCATTTCAAACCAAAGTCATTTATACACAAGAGATAAGAACTTTGAATATTATACAAAAATAATCTAAATAAAACTCTATCAGAGATTATAGTCGTTGGTGTAATTTAGGCCACTGGTTGGTATTGTTCAAGACGGTCCAACAGCCGTTCTGAGTATCCTGGAGAGTAATATCTGCAAAAAAATAATTGAGATAAATCGTCAATAGACGTATATAATAATTGCCAACAGAACCACATGTAAGATATGGTGCAACACTGTGCTGCATGTCAGTAGAAGGGGAATTCATCTACGTAATARAAGGAAAATCTTCAAATGGTTAATATATAAACCATTATCAAGATCTCTCTGCATTACACCTGTCAATCATAAGGTCGCCTCCAAAGGCGACATAAGTATAAGCCCACTCATGTAAACTAAAAAAAACTTATGTCACTAGTGCACCAGGCCGAAGGTGTAAGGTATTAGCCTCTAGGTTCACAAAAAGCAATCTACCACTGAAAATCTAAAATTAAGAGTTATTGATGCGAGAACAAACATGTTACTAACTATACCTGACAATTTCTTCTGGATAGCAGTTGTTGATAGTATTGATGTATTCATGTAAAGCACTGCCTGGCTCAGCCTTAATTTCTTGCACTTTCTTTAGTCCTCCACTTGTCACAAACAGCCTTCTGGCTTTAGCATCGTGTGGCAACACCTTAGCAAACTGTCCGACAACATGTTTGAGGATATTAGGTGGGGCATCGTGCAACAGAGGTTCCAGCGCAGGAAGGTGAGTGCACTTTTGAAGGATATTCTTGAGGGCTTTCTTTGACTGTACATGAAAAATCATAGCAATATTAGCCAATTAACCTCTAGTAAGGCAACTGGGGACCTTTAATAGTTTAGCTTACAGCATTACCAAAATAACTTTCTTGTTTGACAAAAGCATGCCACTTATTACAAGGTGACCATTATATCAATGGATCAATGTAAAACCTATTACATCATTGTTTGACTATCCTACCTTAGTCTGTAGATCTTCAGAACTGTCTGTTCTAAAATAGCATTCAAGTAGTTTAGGTAATACATTGCTAACTGCAACAGCTTTGGCATGTTCTGGAGTATGGCGTCCAATCTGTCCTAATGCCCATGCACCAGCAGCCTGCAAGTGAAATGGAAGTGACTGAATATAAGGTTTTGCATTCGAAAGCCACATGTGTTTGACCTTATGATGAGATCCTTATGCTGTCAGCCTTTCAGATTCAACGTATACTACTAAAATGTATTTAAGTGCAATTTATATATGTGATGCTTCATTTAAGGTTGCCTGCAAAATCATATTCAAGTCCATCCTTGAATTGTTGCATGTTACTGTCAGTAGTTTTGTTTTAATTTCCCCAGACCAATGGCGAATGAGGAATAGATTATGATGGCTTACCTGAATGTGATCTTCCTGCTCCTCTCTTATTGCGATGGACAGCTGAACAACACCCTGTCAAAATCAACAAGTACCATATTCTAATAAACAAAGTCTTCAAAGAATTATGGAAAATTTATTCAGAAAAGGATTGATGGTTAAGGGCACCACCTGGACATGGAATGGCTGTGTCCTGTGGCTATAAACTGTCACTATTCAAGATTGGAATTCATACCTTTGATACTATGACGGACATGGCAAGGTTTTCAGAATGTGCAGCAACATATCCCAGCATCATGATACCTGGCAGGCGTACATTTCCACGTCGCTCACCAACATAGTCCACAACGGCAGCAACCCCTCCAGCATTGACAATCAGTTGTGCTAGCTAAATAACAGCAAATGCAATACTTTAGTTATCAATGTTGTAAGACTGCTGGAGTAAGTGAAATCGAACTCACCTCTGGAGTGTGTTTGGCTATTTCTCGGATAAGGGTGGCAACATTTTTGCAAACATATTCATCGCTGTCTGTAAGGTAACATACACATGAATAAAATTAGACAATCAATAATAATAAGAAAAAGCTTATATTTGTAATATAAAGTTATAACTTTAGTTTAAAACAATGATCATTGATCAAGCATTGTTTGGTTACCTTTCAAGCAAGTCAAAACAGCTGGGAAAATCTCTGCCTCAACAACCATTTCAGCAAGATCCACAGAATGCTTGGCTATTTGGCTGAGGGCTGAAAACACTTGTCTCTGTGGATTACAAGATTAATATTACTCATTTGGTTAATGCCACCCTCTTTAAAACCAGTCTTGTCGAAAGAAACTATTCAAGCTAGTAGCTAGCTTCACCTTTCATTGCCCCGACAGTTTCCTCACAATTTGAATACTGATTATATACCAGAAAGTTGAGTATTAATTCTAAGTTGAATAATATGTAGCTGTCCCTTTTAATACTAAAACCAACCTTGAGTTTGGCATCAGGATTAAGGATCATTTGTGCAAGATGAGCAATAGCTCCTGCATCAACAACTGTCTGTGCTAACTGTAAGCAACAACAAAATGATGGTAAGTAATTGAGAATACCTTTTCTTCCTATCATAGGATTGTATGATCAAGCATGATACATGATATTTTACAAATGAATAATTCTACTATACCTCTGGTGAATGTTTGCAGATGTCACTGAGTGCAGATGATGCAACCCTTTTGAGTGACAGTTCTGGTTCTTGGATGCACAGCACTAATAGTGGTACTGCTCCAGCATCAACGACTGCTTGTGATAATTCTAGAACACACAAAAAAAGGATAAGTACAAAAGCCTACAGAGCAACATTATTATTATCATAACAGCTCAATGATGTAAAAGTATACAAATAGTAATGCAACATGAATAATAATGAAAAATGCACTTTGGTATTTCTGAACCTTATTGCTGACCTGCATTATGCCTTGCAATATAACCCAATGCCCAGGCTGCTGCTTCTTTGACACCAGGATCAAATTCTTCTAGACAGATTACCAGGGCATCCAATGCACCACAGTCTACTACAGCCTAAATATAAACAATGAATATTCAATACGAAAATTATCATGAAAATATGAGCCATGTTATAATATCTAGGGCTTATTGGCTGGGTTACTAACGAGGGATAATGTTTAGTCTTTGGGGTTGGTCATATGATACATTTTTTTTTTTATTATGATGATATTTAAGTTGAAGATAGGTATTGACTTACCTGAGCGTGTTGGGCTGAGTGTTTAGCTACAGCTCTCAACACAAAAGCAGCTGCCTTCTTGTAAAATCTCTGTGATAATGTAACAAAATTAATTGATAAATTGATGATAATATTATTCCAGCACCTCACATACATGTTTGTTTATCTTTACAAGTTTGAACAAGTGGGCAGAGCAATGCTTCATTATAAGTTTCCTTATATATTATATCACTATTTATCGATTATAAATTATGTATATATTGCTTTCTATATCCAAGGGTACTCTAGCTGGCTCTCAATGAAGATTGAAACACAGAAGCTTTGTCTCAACATTTTTTTTTTCATGTGGTAAGAATCTAAGAGTACTCACATTTTGTTCAGCCAGTGAATACACAAGCTGTGGCAAGATGTCTGCTTTTACTACTGCTTCTGATAGATCATCATTGTAGTTAGCAAGTCTACCAAGAGCAAGAGCAGCGGTCTGCTGAATGGTTGGTACTATGTCTAGCAGTAGAGGTCTTAGAAGAGACATCACACCTGAATGGAAAGCCATAATATTAGAGTTCGTTATATATGTATGTATATTCTTTTTCTAATCTAATTAAAGTCTATTTTCTAGTGCTTCAAATGGAACCCAAGATTGAACCAGAGCCTTAAATTTTAACCAAATCTCACAGTAATATACGGTAAGTTATAAAATAGTTTGTGCCCTATTTTTTATCAACGTGCTTTAGTTATACAAACAGTTTATAAGCATTATATATTTTTAATGCATTTATCCACCACCGATCGCTCAGTTCGACATCGAGCAAACACATAGCTTCATTTACCTGCATTTTGTAGCGTTTCTATGTTCTGTGGTCTTGAGGAAAGGTCAGCAACAGTCTGAACGAAAGTCGTCCTGGCTTTTTGGTACTGTTCGAATACTACAGACCAAAGGTACCCAAGTTTAGGCAAATAAAACGGGCAAAAATTGACAAAATGTGTTCTAATCTGATTCAAGAAATAACACATACCTTGAAGAACTTGTCTGGTGCTCATTTTGTCTTGGTTTCTGGAAAATAACGACTCTTACATGCAAAAAATTCTGTTAATCAGTAAACTCAACCTTATCGTTTTGTACTTTCCTTTTGATATTATTGCTGTTGCTAGGATACCAACAGTTCAGAGCAATACGCATGCTTGATTTGTAAATGACCGCTGATCAATACTAGTACTTAGTCTAGCTCGTCATTCTTACCACAGGAAAACCGCTGCTAAGATGATTTTTTAAATTTTTTTAATTATCGTTTTTTCTCTAGTATTTGTGAAACATTTAGATATAAAAAGGTAATGACGTTGCAGCACATTACTTTGAGCTTTAGTTAAGAAGCCCACGAAACGGGGAAAGGGGACCCTGGTCCTCTCCTACGGAGCATAACGTATATAAAAGAATCACCATCTGTCAAACAACTGAGCGCCCACACACGCTCAACCATGTTGAAAAAAAAAAATTRAAAATATAAAAAAATATTTATATTTACAAGCTGAACACGACACATCATTCCAAATGTTATTTTATTATATAATTTGATTTGTTCAATAAATTGTATTTTGATTTTTTAAACAATAACGTATGAATGTACTTTTTGTCGTTTCATAATATTTATATCCATGCCAAACTTAATAGTTATTGTCTAATGATACTAAGTTGTACAAACACTCTGATACAGAGCACTCTTACTGTCTATCAAACGCTTCAGTCTTACCCTATTCTAAGATAATGAAAACTCTTTTTACAAATAGCATATTATGATAGCTCTTTAGAGTATTTTAACCTCAAAAGCACTTTAACGGATCCGTGAACTCTCTTCGCCTTTGTCCCTTTATTTCATTTATTGCGTCATAACAGGGCAAAAGGCGTTTTCAATAAGACGTAAATTTGTCCGAGTTAGGACTGGGATCAAATGTACAAACACATGTGGCTCATGCTTCTTATCGTGTCTTGTCTTATTTCACGTGATTCTCAGAGCACGTGTCAGCTCTGCTTTTATGTCATGTTTTTCTTAATTAACTTTTTGGAAAATTTCATGTACGTGCTACACTTATTTCCACAGATTTCCAATCAATCAAATTGGGATATCAATGCAAGTTTGTAAAAAGTGATGAGAGGCAAGACCCAAAGTCCTCTGTAGAAACATCAGTTGTATCCAGTTTTGTCTTCAGTAAACTGAGAAGCTTTCCTTCGTTATGTCCTTGTTCACGTATTACCATGAGACATCCTCGTTCATTCAGCATTTTTTCTGTTTTTCTCGTACTTGAGAAGATGTCCCATGAAATTCAGGTTCGGTGAGATGGACGGTCGCTTTTCTTTTACCAAGTTGTAGGCGTCGTTGAGGGATAGTCCCAGATGTTTCATCACGTAAGCTACTGCTACTGTTGCAGAGCGTGACACTCCAGCGTGACAGTGGACCAAGACTCGATTCCCGTTCGCACGAGCTTCGTCTAAACATAAAAAATTAAACTTTAACGATGAAACATATAAAAGCATTTTTGGGACAAGAATAAAGTGTCTTTAGTGCATTTTTCCACGAAGTAAGGCTGCACTTAATGCACAGGTTGAAGACTCTCTGCAGCTGAGGCRTGTTGAGGGGGCTAGGTATAATCAGTGTCTTATTTGTGATAGCCCATTGGAAGTCCTATTTCAAGTTGCATTTGCCTAGTGTAAAAGGCAGCTAAAGGCTGTTGACATGCTACTAGTGTATAACCTGTGATCTTACCTATGAAACGTATAGCCTCCTCAAAGTGTTTTCCAATATCTTCTTGGTAAGAATCGTTGATTTTGATTTGCTTGTAGTGCATGTCTGGCCGATGACTGAAAAAGTTCGGACACATTTCGGTGATGTTGAGTATGAACGTAATTGCTAGTCTGTCAATCAGCTCTTCATCTGCCGCTCCCTCCTCGCTGCCGAGGTACAGAAATGGTAAAATGGCCGACGCTGGAGGACCACGAGGGCGTGGTTCACAACGTTCTGTCGCGGTTAGTGTGAAGTCGTTTGAGGGCGTTACAACGTCGCAGGCTCTTGAAGACGCATTTTCACAAAGGCTTTCGTAGTTTTTACAAAATTCCTTCAAGCCACCTGAAAATAGATAGCTATTGGTTAATAAAATATCACAGGGAAACGAGCCTTGTTTCACATGTCTTGTATGATATGTGCATGCTTCACAATAACCGCAGGTAAGGGATTAACTAATAAGTTCAAGCAGCTAAAGCAGCTAAAGGTGCATGCAGTTTAGTTTATTTTGAAGACTGACACGAAGTGTTTCCATGTTTGATAATACAACGAAAAAGAGGGCACACACTGACAAGATGATATCCTTCGACTTCCCTGATTCTAGCAAGAATATGACTAAACTACACAGACGGTAAAATATTGAGCATAGGAATTGTAAAACAAACCACCAAGAGGCGAGACAAATGCTTTAAAGTTATCAATCAAGATGGGCTGTCTTTTTGCGGGTACCGAATGTAAACACAAGAATCAGCGATGAAAGTTGGTAACAACTTTTACAATGGTACCACAAAGAAGAAGAATACTTTGAACATTTCAGTACTTTAATCCTTAGGGTTTTCATGATCCCAAAGCCTTGTAACTTGTCTTGCAACTTTTAATGCGGACAGAGAAACATTGACGTAAGATACTGGGACTGGCAACAAAATGGTACATCCTATCTTTTTGTGGAATCACCGCTCGTTGTTTGTGGCAGGAAGTAATATTGACTTTGAGGGCATCAGTTAAACAAGGGAACATTTACGTGTTGTAAAGATTGCAAGTAGACAAACAGACTGGCCGACAACGAATATGCACTTGACATCTTTTTCATATCCGAACACCAGTAAAATCAATTGAAGTGTGTAGCTGAGACAAACAAACAAATTTGCAACAATTTTACCCGTTGTAAGAAATCCTTCCTGGTGCAATTTTGAATAATGCACTCGGAACATTTCCAGTCTTAAATCCATAAAAACGACTTGATTTTGAAAAATCCTTGTAAACGCGCTGTGTGGAAACAGCCATTTCGACATGAGATCATAAGTTGATGGAACAACAAAAACATTACTTAATTATGACTTCACATATTACAGACAATAATGATTGAAGCAATTATTTTTTGGATGTGCACCAGTGATTTTGAGTCAAACACCTGCTACAAACTTTTCAATTATTGTGGAGGACTCGCAAACTTTACTGATTCTTAGTCTTTCATCTTATCACTTTTTTAAAATAATTTTGTTCTCAATCGGATCGCATCTAGTTCTTCCGATGATCAAAAGGTCAATTTTCTTTGGGAAGACGAAATACAGCTTTTTTCTCTTTCTTTCATTTCTTTTTTTTTTTTTTTGCATTCAGTAAATAATGTTTCTTTCGGTTCTAGCCGTTCTTTGGAGAAAACAAGTAAAGATATCAAGATTTATTAATACACGGCTTTCATTTGGTGCGAGATGTTGAGTAAACAATTTGAAATGGAGTTCACAACAATTAAACGATGACTTGGGTCTTGAACACAATTTGCCATTGCATCGATGAACCGAAAAAGAATATCCAAAGTCGAAAAGCCCTAACTGGTAACCGTGCAAAGAAGAAATTGATAAAACCATGAAAAAACTAGTAAAGGAAATGGGGGAATGAAATCAAAACAAACAATTTGTTGCAAACAATTTATTGCAAACAATTTGCAGCAAACGAAACGAAAACACTTTTTTCGACACCTTACTCACTGGACAGAAAAACTAGGACTGGCAATTATAAGAAAATCAGAGCTGTTTCTCAAAAAGTGCGGTCTCTCTTATTCTCGATGAAGATGATTTTTTGTTTTGATTGAAAAATACGCAGGAACTCCTTCAAGGATCGCTCAAAGCTGAAGCTGTTACAAATTTCATCTAATCTTTGCCAAGATATGTTTACCACATGCATTAAAGGGTATGTCCACCCCGAATATACTATTAATTGACATGTACAATTATACAAAATACTATCAACAATTATGCGGTTCTGTTGCGGCCGAGTATTAAGTGCTGAAACAAATCGAGCTACATTATGTTAGTTTCCAAAACCGTAATGGCAAACGTTTGACCTCAGGAAAACTGTTCCATGATCCAGAACCGTAAAATCACAAAACCAAAACAAAGTCACTGCACAGGCTGGCTACGGATCTTTTGCAGTTGGTATAGCTATCGTATTACAGTAATTTCGAATATTAAGCATAAAAAATAGCTAAACTTCTTCTGAAAGATTATATTAATTCATGTATATCTCAGAGTTTTTTTGTCAAACAGATCAACGAAAAAAAATTTAAAAATTTGATGGCACTGACATGCGCCTTCTACAGCAACGAAATGACGCTTTGGTAAAATACGACAAAAAATATACTCGTTATTATTAAGAAAAACAAAATAATTAGGAAGTTTACCTAAAGGTCGTAGTTTTAGAGGAGGAAGGGATACGACTCTACAAGCCATGGTTGCTGTGGTCGGGTTAAGGTGTATCAATCTCCAGTGATCCCTTTACCACAGTTCAGTTCCACAAATGAACCTAAACGTTTATAGCCTCTAAAAATATGGGTAATGTCAGTGTTGTAATGGGTTTGCAGACCAGTGAGCTGAGCAGACCCTTATCGCTGAATAATTTGAAGCCTTGAACATTGTATGCAGTCCAGTGAAGCACACAATGATGAACGAATCGTCCAAAACCTTATCAGGACATCTTTGTTAGTATTCTAATCCTTACTCCCGAAATTTTTAATACAAATTGTTAACCGACGTATTTATTGTGCTGAATAAAAAAATAAAATATACTAATAAAGAAACCATTCAAAAGTTTTTTAAATAGTAATTGTTTATAAGGAAGATTAATTAACCTTAATTTTCATTGATAACCGTTTTAGGGCGACAAAAGTCACTTCACAAATTTCACCAAAAATTACTGAACAGCTGTGCGCCAATTGTAATTCATTGTGATGTTCGATGATGCCGCCGGCAAGTGTCTATTAATGAGAAACTTTTTTTTCAATACAGCCTCAATTTCTAACATTATTATCGTTACCTGTTTAAACATGACTTACTTAATAGTTTGTTCAGAATCGCTCCAATTAACCCAATTAGCGAACCCTTGATCCGTCACAGCTAAATTAACCGATGACTTTGTTCGTCAGTTATCTTTACTTTTTTGAACCCCGTTGCCTTTTAGCTAGATTTGGACTAAATTTAAAATATAAATTTGGAAGACTTTTCTAAACTTAGTTACAAATTTTATTTTCTAAGGAATTTGTGATATGCGAGCTCGAGTTCTGAAGTAGGGTTTTACTCRAATATTTTTTGAAAGGGGTGATTAAGTAAGGTTGCTTGAACAGTCAAGCATAGAAAGACGAAAATTCATGGTGTCATTCACAAAACATTCATGGCTATTGGTATCATTACTGACTGACTGTATATAATAATTTTAAAAACTTCTTAGTTAAATCGTATGCACAGACCCCTCCCCCGCATCTCTTGGTTGTAGGAAACAAGCAGACTAATAGCATTGACCTATCACAAAGATTCTCAGCCATCTGTTAGCACTGAATTGACTGCTATTTTAAGTAAGCCTTCCTTTGATATTGTTTCACTCTTCATAACCTTTCTGTAACTATTCTGCGACGAAGGGGAAAGAACGGTCTTAATCCAGACTAGTGCAACTTAATACGTTTTTCAAGCGGCATAAAATTGAGTTTTGGTGGAATTTAAACCAGAGCTGCCAAAAAGGGAAATGATTTTGATCGTAGAACCAGTTATCAATCAACTTTACGTCGGACTATCTCTCAGGTTGTGTTTTCAGATGTTTCCATCTTCATAGATATTCACATGGAGACAGACTTCCTTGATATTGTGGGCCAACGCCTCCCCCCCCCCCCCCAGACGAATATATTTACTACGAAAAGATAATGCCCCGATGGTGGGTAGAAAAAGAAAGCAATTAAAAATTCATGAACGTATCCTGGCTAGGCGCGCTCCTCATGCACATATTTTTTAATGGATCAGTTTAGTTCTTACCAATTCTTCGATGAGACTATATGATTGTGAACAACGCAATGCCTGCGCAATTCTTGCGTAATTCTTGATTCCATGCTGACTCAGCCCACCGCAAGATTATTGATCTTGAAAGCTAATGGAGTTTACGTCATAAATCTGGGGGGAGGCTGAGTCAGCAGAAAAAAAGGAATGCCAAACAAATGATGAATTCATTGAAAAACTTGTGGAACATCTAAGAAAGAAGTTTCTGAAGTCGGCAATATAGTTTTTAATTTCCCATCATTCCACACGAAAAAAGGGGGCCGAGTGGACTCCGAGTATTACTATGGTTTCCAAATAAGTTGTTTTTGAATTCTAAAGTCATAACCTTTATGATTATCTGTGCTGGCGGGAACACTGCAGTGACATTCGTTCAGTCACATCCGATGCTTGTCACGTTGCACACGCGCACGTTCAGCCGTGCGTTAACACGCGTTCAAACAAAATCATAAAACACACATGTTCACACATATAAAATTACAAAAAAGAAAAAAAGAAAAAATTGAAATAGTAAATAGCGTGATTCTCACCTTTCAAAAATGATATATCCTTTCCTTCTTTCGAAAGTGTTTGTAAGACAATACAAATGGCCGACTTTGATGACGTGAAGTCTTCGGTACTGGTTAGGTCGTCGTAAACAATGAAGCTCTGTATCGAGCTACTAATGTATTTTTCCTTTCCTTCTTTCGACGATATTAAATCTTTAAGTTTCGTTTTTCCTTGTAGGAGTCTTTTACGACCGATAGAAGAGCAGTTTACATGAATAGCTCCTTTAATATGTACAGTAGTGAATGCGAAAAGAGATCTACAGTCAATTAGAAGTGTTCTGCTTTCATTTGCCAGGATTCTCTCAGCGACTTCATCAGAAGAAAGAATGGCGTATTTCGAATTCATTTCTGCCACTGCTTGCTCCGCACTTGACTCAGACAGAAGACCAGGCATCAGAAGGAATGATAAAGACAAAATAAAGATATAGGAAATCGGTTGATATTCTCTTCCAGTGTTTTCCAACAGGCAGCAGTCGAAACTGTTTTGCCTAGATGATCCTAGTAGAGAACAACCAAAAGTAAAGTAAGATATATTGAGTTGTATTCCTTTGCCTTTAAAGCGAAAAGTTTCAACTTTTTTTCTTCGCAATTCCTATGTGTTTTATGGCTAGGGGTAAATCTTCCACTAGATCAGCGTAATAAATTGAAAACAAAACAAACCTGCATTCTGAACAGATCAACAGACATTACAGTGTATTTATAGCCTCACGCAATGATGTCACTAGTAGCCAATCAAAAAGTCAATCGATTGTACGTCGATAGATTGTGTAACACACGATTAACACACGATTAGCCGAGTACGTGACGGAGAAGGGGCGAGGAGAGGTCGAACCTATACGCATTCTCCGATGTTCTAGAACATGCTGTGACATCACGAAATTAAAAAWATATATATTAACATATTTGCTTTTCATGTTCAAGCATATTCTTATTTCCGTCAATTTGCAAATAAAAAGCAGGGTAATAATAGATCAGCCTTCCTCCAATAAAAAGATGTTTTTTTTTCTATAAATACCAATAAAATGTCATTTACTAATAGCGGCTGCGTAGGAGATAAGTTTGTATATTGCCTGGTTACGAAATATTCACGACATCCAATCCTCTCTCCCCAGTAGTTTTACATCACTATCTAGTTTTTTACACTCAGGCTAATGAGAAATCCATACATACATACATAAACATACATACATACTTTATCAGTTTAAAAAAAAAACTAAATAAAGTATAAATAGAAATTTAAAGCATGCCACACAAATGAACAACTTCGGATCTAGGAATCTCATTTTAGGGAGAGGGGATTGGCTGGGTAGAAATTAAATCCGCTAAAGAAATGCCAAATGATCAAACCTTCAATAAATTTGAGGACAGTGTTAATTATTTTCTATTGGTGATGGGGGCTGACAAAATTACGCCTCTTCACTTGCTCTGACGATATTAACTTCCTACCGACGGATTCAATGACTTCACCGCTATAAGTTTTAACTTCCTCAGGAACTTGACTTTCTCAAAATAAAAATCATGAAACCAAGAATTAAATTATCTGTAGCTAAAATTAATAGACCATAAGGGACTTTATGGTCTCTAGCTAAGATATATAACATAAGTAGAAGAAAATTAATTATGAGAAGGTGGAAATCGGGAGTATAATTTGGAGGATTTGGGACAGGCAACCCAAGCTCACTACATTTATAAGAGAATGTATGGGGATTAAGAATATGCCGTATTTTATTTGGAAAAACGTTTGTCGACTTCGGCATAGCTAGTTTTGAAGGGTATTTAATTTTTTTTCCATAAATACCCTTCAAAACTAGCTGAAACTGCATGAAGGAGTTCAAAATAAACAAATTGACACAACAGGTAAGTCGACAAACTTTTATTCACGTTTTTCCAAATAAAATACGGCATATATTCTAAATCCCCATACGTACTCTTATAAATGTAGTGAGCTTGGGTTGCCTGTGTTTTGGGTTTTCTCTTCGTATTGTTGAGAGAAGACTGGTGACTAGACCAGTGGATAAGATCTTCGTTGCCATGACTACTTGAAGAACACAGCATCACAAAATGGCGACCTTCGTGGAGTTGATGGGACGAAGACGAGATATAGTGAATAAACTGTTCGAAGATTGCAGGTACAATTTATTTGAACAACCTGCTTTATAGATAGATGCTTGGTTATTCTTCTTACGTYTTAATATTCGAAAAAATGATTTTTTTCAAATACTTTACCGAGGGTTAATTTACAGTTAATTTTGGAAGGCTTCCTTGGCTGGAAGCAACGCTGAAATTTCACCTTCTAAATGTAGAAAAAGATAAGACTTTACTTTTACTAGTAAAGAAAAAACTTATTTGAGGGTTGACTCAACATTCATAAAGCAATATTACGTGCAAAGCTGAACTGATACTTTCATAGTAACAAAATGATTTAAGAAAATTCAATTTATTCCTTTGTTCATGGCGTCTATAATTTTGTGACCATCCTTCGTATTTCGTTCTCTAGTGAGGCTGAAGATCAAAGGACCCGTGAATATGAAGCTGCCGTACGTATTCAGAGTTGGTTTAGAGCTGTTCGAGTCAGGGCATACATCAGGTGTGTATTTGAACATGTTTGCTCGCACTTATTCCTGTCCACAGAATGCCAACAAGTACAGAGCGTATATATAATCTTTACCCCTACCCGCGTTGAGAGGAGGGGGGGGGGGGGTAGATGTTTGGTTTCCTACCACTAGAAATATCTCAACATTCCTAGATAAAAAGTATGCAAGGAAAGATCCAGCATTTTTTGAATGATACTGAATTAATAAGATTTGGTATCATCTGGGAAAAGACATCCTTAATTCATATTGGTTAATTAACATTGGTAAGCTTGTTAAACTATGGTACATTTATGGCTGATGAATGCAATTCTTTCTAATGTAGTGTATTCTATTACAGGTTTTTAAATTCTTGTGCAAGAACCATTCAAAAGCACTTTAGAGGTTTCAAGGGAAGAGAGATTTATAGACACCTTGTCAAAGTAAGAAACGTTATCTAGTTTTATCTATAGCACCCTAAAGGGGGGGGGGGGGGCCAAGATTGAGACTAGTATGGGAAAAGTGGGGGCTCAGATTGGAAAACATAAGAGACAAGTATAGGAAAAGGAGAAAAAAGAAAAAAGTGAGGGAGTTTGCCCCCCCCCCCTGCCCCATCCCCTTTGCTGTCCCTGTTTTAAGCTATGCACAGATGTTGTAGAAAACGATCCTACTCAATGTTGCATGCAATGTTGCATTCTGTGGACTTGCCTTTAAAATCATGAAATTAAAGAAAAGTATACCTGGTGTGTGCTTGAAAAGTGTTGGAAATGTTTGGTTTAGCAAAACAATTTAAACACTTCTTACTTCTCAAGTGTTCTGCCAATCCTCAAGTGCTTTATAATTGTACGCGCAGCAAAAACATTTTTCAATAAGTACATGTATATATGTTACATAAGATAAACTTAATTTCCATATTGGTATGACCAGAAGTAGTATTTAGAAGGAACTCTTGAAATTAGAATAACTTTCATTTCACTGATAAACTAGGATTTTAGAATTGCATGCAGATGTAACATTTGTGTGCCCTCATAAAGCATGGCACCACCAACCAATTTAGAAAGCAAAATTTAGAAAGCAAAATTTATCTAAAAGTTTTTTTTAGTAATTTCCTCTTATTTCATAATTCCAGGAGCATGTAGCTCGAATGAGGATCAAGTACTATAATTCACAAGCTACAAAGGTTAGAATACTCTAAAATTTATTTCAGCTTTTGGAAATATTTAATTTTTACGTTTTTTTCTGAAATGTCCTGTCTATTCATTTCTTCTACAGATTCAAAAAGTGTGGAGAGGTAAGATTTCTCACCTTTATTTTTTATGAATTATCTATTATTTCTGATAATAATAAGAAAAATTAGGCAAGGAGGATGTTGAGGAGACTGAAATCTTTAACTTTGCTGGGTTACTTTGGATGAATTATGGTTCCAGAGATTCCACTACTATTGACTTATCACCTTTTATCATGCTTTATTTATAGGATACTACACAAGAAAATATATTCATAATTTCTATAGTAGAAAGGCTTTCCTTGAGGGACTGGCTGTTAAAAATGAACTAGTAAGGTAAGTAAAGACTTGTTGCACTCATTTACACTATAAATAAATTTGTGCTAGTTGAGTGGCAAACCATGCAAAATACCTTGTGTTGCCACAGGGAACCTGGCTATATTTTTTTGCATCTTTTAGAAAAGTAACTTCGCTCTTTGTGGGTTTCCTGCATAGTGATCGGTTTCCTATTACATAAGCTGTAATCAGATCTGCRCTGTAATCAGATCAGCACTGTAAACTGATAGCCGATTCTTGAATTTTGAATTCAAATCAATAACCATTGGTGTTTTGTTTCTTATGGGTTGCCTGTGGTGTGTAACACATTTTCTAGTAAGTGAGTGTTTACTAGAGAGTGCATTACCAACAGTTATTGATTTGAATTTAATCAGCTAACAGTTTACAGCATCGAAAACCCACAGGAAACCCACAACGAGCAAAGTTACTTTTCTAAAAGAAGCAAAAGAAAATATAGCTGGGTTCCCTGTGGTGTTGCTCTAGTTCACACACATTACTGATCATATAATGGTYGGTATAATTGGTATGATTTCAAAAATTTTTGAAAAAATATTTGTAAGCACTATTAATTTTTGTTTTTGAAATGATGCTAACATGCCTTGAAAAAGCCCTCAGTTAGCTTGTGGCTAGGCTCTGTGATGTCTTTTTGTTTGCAATACTTATACTCTATATATCAGAACATGCTATGACCTTCAGCTTTTCGTTCTATTTTGTTGGGGATCTTGAAATTGGAATGAGATTCAGCACCTGTCATACTTTTATGAATGCTTTTAAGAAACCTATGCATGTACTAGTGCTGGATTGGAAGGAACCGTGAAGTATACAATAGCATGTACACAAACGGGATTTATTTCACTTTTTGTTGTTTTTTCCTCCAGAAAGGAACTCAATGAACTTGCCCTTTCTACATCTAAAGAGATGGAACTGAAAGCACAAATGAAACACAAGGTTTGTACATCAAGTAAAATAAAGTTTTGCATGAGGCTGATCTGAAAGCTTTAATTCATTCAATTTTCATTTATTCATTTTGAAAATTTTCTTTCGTTTCAGGCTGCAAGAGAGTTAGAAGCCGAAAAAACCCATTTCCTAATCAGTACGCATCAAATTCCAGGAATATATTACTCCCCCATTACAGGACCATCCCAAAAAGAATTGGAACTCCGAGAAGTACGTCCTCTGACTCCAAAAACTCGCGGTGTCTTGAGTGCTAGACTACGTACAAAAAAATTTGAAACTTTTGATGACCGTGAAAGTGTTAGTGCTCAAGAAAGCATGAAATATAAAGTTCTCCCACCAATCAATGCTGATAAAGTTCAGGTTTGTAATATCGGTAGTAAAGCGTCCTTTGTTTAAGTGAGAAACTCTGAAATAACAGTGACTCAGGCCCGTCACCAGGATTTCAGAAAAGGGGTTTGTTTTTGTCATTGTAAAGGGGAGGGGGTRAGGGTTTGTTTGCACCTTGGCACCACCACTGGCAACGGGCCTCGACATACAGCCAGTACACGTTGAAATAGCTTACATTTGATTCATCAAAATCATGTCACAGAGTTGCGGTTGCAGTGATTTAAAGAATGACTATGGTGTACCCACATGCGTTTTCACGTTGTTCTCACTCATAACACATCTACTCTTTAACTTTATTTTTATTTTTGGTAGCAGTTTTCGATACAGGGTAGGGTAGAGGCCCAAGATTCGGGATCTCAATTTGTTCGATATCAATAAAGCGGGATCCGTTTTTTTTTTKTTGATAAATTTCAGGGACCTTTCCGTAACCCCAATGAAGTGTGGAAGCAGCGCCATAAGTCACTAAATCCCAGTCTTCGAGTAGCAACCTCGTATGATTCTGCAGAACAGACCAGGTTGGTATAATTTACGTATTGCAGATCATTGCGCACAGTAGTTATTCAGACTGACATTCATGATYGGAAACTCACGCTAGACCGATTCTATAACTTTGAAAAAATTATGGTGCATCGTGCCTTGTCGTGATTGTAACGATATCATGTCTTAGTGTTTTTATTGGCTGAGCTGGAAACTTGCGCGCTGTGATTGGTTCAAAGGGTTTCGTCAATACCGTGCTGTGCCAATTCATAGTCATGTGAAATCAGCCCTGGTTATCGAAAAGCATCGTAAATTGCGAAAACCATACATGGCAGAAATATGGTCGTCAATTTTTAGCCTGCGGTATAGCGGCGCTTTGGAGAGGGGGAGGGGAGGAAGAAGGGGAGGACACTACGCAGGCTGATCAATTCTGCACCGTGACTGTGCCAGTGCCTGTACTAAACCGAATCAGTTTAATTGATTAATGAATACTTTTTCCTGTTCTGTTTAGAATGGAAATGAAAGCCAAAGAATGGGTAACAAGAGTCATCGATGATAAGTAAGTAATGTTTGTTGTAGTAACTTTACCACTTTTTTCATTGCTATCCGCTGATCGATACAAGAGTCGCAACAGGGAAATAAGGCAATAAATTGCCGACAATGAAATAAATTGTTTGCTACCTTTACATACCCTGATTGACGGCAGTGTATTGCCCGATTTCCATGTGTTATCTCGATTAGCGAGTAGCAATAGCGAGTGGTAATTTATATGATTTAAGCAAAATTTCAAAGCATCCTCRATAGATACCCTTTTCTTTTGAATGTATGCTTAGTCTATTTTGCCTGCTATTTCTTTTGTCAGATTCGTACCATTCACCCATAGACAACGCCCGTATGATCCTCTTCTACACACAACCTCGGCTTATGGAAGGTAGGAAAAAATGGTCAACACCACTAACTTTTACTTTTACAAGTGAATAGACCGTTTTCTCAAGGTTGCGTGGCATCCAACTTGACGGGCCACAAAACTGAAAAACAAAAATTCAGCAAGATTGAGAAGACAATTTTATATTCAAAGAAGTGAACAGTCGATTTTATGAATTCTTATCAAAACAAATATGATAGCAATGCATGATAATACTCGTGTTCTGGTATCGTGGCCCTTCAAGTGCCTTAAATTTGGATGCGCACGCAACCTTGAGAAAACGGTGTATTGATTAGATAACTCGTATTTGCCATGTTTCTTTATGGCTAGCTAACTTTGGGATCCCCGGCACTAAGATTAACGGCACAGCGTCTGCTCCTCACTAGACCGCTATTGCAAGTTGAACGGAGTTTTAACGCAGTTACATAGACTAAATATATAGAGTGACTCTAGTGCCAGTGGAAAATCTTTGGTTTTCTTTCCTCGGGGAATATTATTTAAAAAGAACTAGTTCCATTAAAAGGAGATCACCCTATACCTTCACGATGTAAACGGACTCTTTAAGAAAAAAGTCCTCCAATATTTTATTTTCATTATAGCAACAAGTCATAGTAGCTGTATGGAATGTTTTATGACAAAAAAGTTCTCAGTAGTTTATTTTCATTAGCAACTAGTCATAGTAGTTGTATTGAATTTTTTTATGGTTATATTTAGCTTGCCGTACGGTACCAAACACTTTAGAGAAGAGAGCAAACAGAGGCACATTTCGAGCCAGGTGAGTAAACGCATTCCTTTCTGCTTATCATTGGTTTAATAAAAACAACAGCCGCACACCCTAAAATATCACCCGGGAAATCCTAAATGAAAATTCGACATAGCGATGAAGAGCTATCGATTAGACGTAGATTTCGGTTCAGTGGTGTAGCGACTGAGTCTCAGAGTTGGGAAAGGGGCATGTGTCTCTTATGCGCGCGCGAAAATTCCCGCCAAATTCAAAGGAACTTTGTTAGTATGAACCAAAATAGCTTTTCTGTTTAGAATTACTCAACCATTTCTACTTTTAATGTCAAAAATTATTTATTTGTCGGCCAGAAGGAACGAAAACGGAGAGCTCTTATTTGCCAAAGTGTCAGTGTACCAGTATTAATTTAGAACGATTCTTTTTCCATAGCGCTTCGAGTCTGTCGTATCGCCTATTCCAATCTTTGAGCAGTTTGGCAAGACATATTAAAGTACGAACCATTGAAGAATTCTTTGTACATAGAGAGATGAAGTTTATACAAAAAGTAAGGAAACAGCAACTCGACACAAAATCACTTTTTTGGAATTTGTAAATATTGTATGTGTATATGTGTCCTCGTTTTGAGTTGCTCAAGATGTCTTTGCATCAATAAACAAGATCCTAGAACTCAATCAATTTGTAAAGGATGTTTCTAATACCACAGGTAGCCCAGGCTCTGCTTTTGTGAGGGGGTTTTACTAAGAGTTTGTAATGTGGAATATTTTTGAAAATCAGTAGTAAAATAAATGCTACTAACTTTTCACGATATCCCGTTCTTTCCTGCTCTTTATCTTGGTCTGTACTAATTTCTAGCCGATCAACGGCTCAAAATAGCTCCAAATCGTTAAGAAATTAGTACAGATTTTGTATTTCTATTCTCAAAAATATTCCAAGTTACAAAGTCTAAGTGAAACCTCCTCTTAAAGCAGAGCTTGGGCTACCTGTGCTAATACACGGTGAAACCTGACTGTAAAAGTCAATAGTCTCCTTCACAGTTCCTGCGCCATCTTGAAAGGTAGCCGTGCCTTTGCATCGAAGCGAGACGAAAGGTGAATAGAGACATGTGAACAATTTTCCAAGGTATTAAAAAATATCTCTGTCATTGCAAGCTCACCGTTCGTCTCGTTTCGATGCAAAGGCACGGCTACCCTTTTAAAGATGGCGCAGAGAACTGTGAAGGGGACAATTGTAATACTTGTATAGAAAATCTAAACATACTCTAAATACACTCTGAACATGCGCAAAAGGGAACATGGAGATGAGTCTGATTCGAGGATCAAACATTTAACATTTTCAACTATCCATCTATGTGCGGGATATGTTATGACACATCACACAATTGCGCAGCACCTTATATTTCGGCATTTAGCAAAGCTAGTATCCTCGTAAACCAAGGTGGGCCTTGAAGAATAAGAGCGAGATTTTCAGGCTTCTGGTACTTTTTTGATTATCGCTTTTTTAACGCAACTGCGATATTTCTCCGTTCGTGAGCTTCTGGTACCAAAAATAGATGTTTATGCGACAAGAAGCGGCCGAAAACGCAGCATGTAATGCATGACCGTGTGGTCCATATCTGACCTCATAGGCCGCGAAAACCATTAAGTCGTAGATTTACATAGCAAATGCACGAAAAAATTCATATTACGCATTGCAAGGGATTAATACGCAGTGCGCTGTTAGATTTTCATTGGTTCATTGGGTGGCTTTTCAATAATGCTTTACGATCGATCCCTTTGTGCCGCTATCCATGCAACACAGAAAGTGTTTCAATTTTTGACGATCTAATTCATAAAATCCTGCGTTCTTGTGGCTGTACCGAGAAATATTTCTTGCTGACCGGAACATCACCAGGAGAATAGCAGGCCATCGGAGAAGATCCCATTGGAATATAAATTGCTTACGAGACCTTTTCTGTCACCCACCTTTGGTCAACAACAGCTGATTTCACACAAAATTTAGACAATCACTTTTAGCTTGACCTTTTTTATTTACATCGATTTAGTAATCTAATGAATAAGGTAACAATGTTTTATCTAGTCATTACATAATCACTTATCATCTAGGTTTTTGGCCATATCTCTTTTACAAAATATGAATGAAAAAATTCCCATTTTTTTCTATTTCTTCGGTGTATGAATAAAGCTCACTTGGTAAGGTATTTAATTTGAACTTTACCAAAATAGACTGCAAAAATAAATTTTCAACTGATACTATCTAGTTAAAAAGACATTTGACTATCTCGAAGATTTCTTTCTTTTATTCAGGCTGTATGGCCGTAAATAAAACAATAAGCACAGATATGCATGAACCTAGACTGCTTATCTATACTAAATAATTGGTCCAACAAGAGTTCATTTTCCACCAGACATGTTTGGATGGCATACGTGAATTTCAGTCGAAGTAACTGATAGCGCTATGTTTCTGCGGCCCAGATGCAGCGGGTTAAAATGTTTGGGCTGCTTACAAAGCTCCAACTGTGTTTATTGAATGTTTTGATCGAATGGAAGTCAAAATCCCGACGTTAGAAGCTGCCCTAGCCTGCGTTGCATCCGGAATTTTCTTCGTAAAGCTGCCTGGAGGTCGCAGAAACATTGTGATAGCTATATTAGATCGACGCTATCAATATCTTGTATTTAAGATAAGAGCTGATTGCTAAAACATATGTTAGGAATGGAAATTTAGTGGACCCCAAGTGTACACCATCCAATATGGCGGAATATGATCACGTGATTTGTTCGTTCTTTTGCCTCTTGGCCGTCAGAAGATTACTTATCTGTGCTTATTAATTTATCTTATCGATTTATCTGGTATATATAAATTCTAAATCATTGGTATCAAAATCTTATATTCAAGTTAAATAAACTGGGAGAACGACAAAGCTACTGAAAGGTCTTCTTGAAAGCGGATGAGCTGGTTAAAAACTGAGCTTTTTAGTTGGTGTTTGAAACCTAATGACATACATGGATGATTCCATTGGATTACAAGCTGAAAGTAATCTTCCTTTTATATGTATTTCGAAAGAGAACTTTAACAAGACAAAATCGATTAAGAAGATTCATGTTCAGAGGCCGTTCATAATTTCCTTTTTACGTTGACCTATGTTTCTTGACCAAAACAACACAAATGTATTTCGTGTGCGTGCGATGCATTGTATAGTGGCCCTGTTTTGACGCGTAGTCTAAAATGCCAAATGCTCCGCTACGCGGTGATGCCGGAAAAACCATGTCTCCACCCTCTCTTCTACGAATTCTAAATAAATTATGAACGGCCACCGCTTAACGCACAATCATGATTGTATTTATATGTAGATTGATCGCATTCTTTACTGATTTTTACCAAAGAAATATAATTACAGCGAGACAGTTCAATTGTTCTTTTAAATAGTTTCCTTAATATTGAATTATTTACAGACTTCAGCGGTCATTGTCAATGGAACTTGCTCTTCACGCAAGCAAAATATCAAAAATGTATTTCCTGAAAAGGTAATCGACTTATTTGGCTTTGATTTGTTGGCACCATTTTTCCTACTAGCAAAAGTGCCTGTCAAGTGCGCTTTAAATTGTCATCCCTGGCCTTCTCGTAAGAGGCTCTGGGTGTTGCCTACTACATAAGTGATCTCCTAAACCCATTAGGGAAAATATAAATGATTTTGAAACTTTGAAATAATTTTTGAAATTAAGAATGAAAATTATAAACTAGGAAATTGCTAGGTCTTTTTGTTTCAGGAAAAATGATACTAATTTGTTTTTAATGCAAACTTTTAGGTTGCAAGCCTTCAGTAAAAACTTGTCTAGCTTAGAGACGATTAAGAATGTTATTATACATGTTCTTATACATGTACTTTTAATGGTAAAATTCAGAGTGTTATGTGAGGTCAGCGGTGGTCACCATTTTCCCGCCACTGGATCTATCGGACAGGCATGCCCTCGGTTCACATGAAAGAAGGATTTATTCTTTTCATTCAAGTTATACAAACTCTCCTTATTTTTCCTGCTAAATGAAACAACTTTAATGGCCTTTACATACCAACGGATTCGCAAGGAAACTGTAAGTATCCCCACTTATGTAATAGGAACAAAATTGAATTTTAACTAGAGTTTTAGCAGCAAAATACGACGACTACTCCGCTTCGCTTATTTCTCACTGTCTTTTTAAAGCTTGCAACTCCAATGAAGTTTGCCTTTGGAATAATATTTTTGTCATTGTGCTTTTGATTCTAATAAAAAGAGCTTAATCTTTTAAAAAATTAATCTTACATGATCTTATTTGAGGATTAAATATTTACTCTTTTGAATAACCTTGCATTTCTTTTATAATCTATTGTGAACTTTAACAATATATTCTCTATAAACAGACCTACCATAGGACCGTAACTTAATGTATATAACCAGTGGCCCAAGGTCATGATTTTTAACTTCAACTTATTGCTTTTTGCAATAATAAATTGTATATATTGAAAAGTGAATTTTCTTCTAAACAGTATTTCCATCAAATCTCTTATAAAGATTTGCTTGTATATCTGAATTTCTATTTTTTTGCTACATTTTTCTTTTAATTATAAAACATTAAATGTTTTCAGTTTTTATAATATGATTTTTAAAAGAAAAATAAAGAGGACTGTAACCGAAATTTTAATCATCAAAAATTTCTTTTTAAATTTTTTGGGCATCTTTTGGACTGCTGATGCAATAGTTTTCAGTATATTTTGCTTACGTGGTTACCTCATTTTTGGAATTGAACCTTTGAGATAGAAAATAACATATAAATAATTCTTGATATTACTTCAAAGAGAATAAACTTGAATTACTGCACTTCTCGGCAAAGAGCTCTGCTCAGTATCATAGAAGTCTATGAGATAATGTTGTTATTCTGGCAATTTCCATACCTAAACTTTAGCCTTGAGAAGTGACCTCGTTAATTGCCAGAAACTGCTAACTTGAAGCCCTGACACAAGATGGGGACTGTGTAACAACTGGACTAGAAGATTTTGATCCTTCTTTTGAGCTTACTATGCTACAAGCTGAGTTAGCAAGGCTCAATAATGCATCAGCACCAGCATAGTCACTAAGCTTCTCTTCTTTGCTTTTTTTGTTTTTTCTTCGGTTTGGATTATTCTTTGTAATGTTCTTGCCATCAAATTCATCTTCAAATCCCTGACCACAACCACTATCACTAAGTTCATCTTGCTTGATAACTTTTTTCATATTCTCTTCAATATCACTGTCCTCATTTTCATCTGATTCTGAGTTGTGATCAAATTCAAATTCACCATCGAGGGATGAGTCGGGAGAAATATTGCAGCCTTTGAGTTTGGATGCCTCTATTAGCCTCCCCATTGATGATGACAGACCATATCTTCTAAAAATACAAAAAAATCCTTAAAATTAGTGAGAAACTTAGTATTGACACATGGCAGTTTATAAACGTGTACCTTTTATAGTGAAAGTCCTTTACCATGGTTGGTATACCAGAAAATGAACCTCTGTGTTTATAGAAATATGCTTTAGCTCTTTTTACCAGAGAGTCTTCTTCAGATGCCGAGGGCGGACATGACTGGCATCTTACAACTGTTAATATGAAAGCAATCACTATTAAAGTTATACTTTAACAAGCAAGTTTCATTAAAGTTACTGCAGTTTTCCTTATTCTGTGAATTCGGTAGTTGCGAGCTGCACGCTGAAATTTGGTTTTTCGCTGCTGTCAATCAAAAATAATTGGTCAGTCAAGCCGCCTTAAACAAGGTGAATACTGTGCAAATGAGACTTAAGTCATAAAATCCAGCAATATTCACCAAATGAGAAAAGGGAAGGGACTATTCTAACACAATGCTTATGAGATCTAAAACCTACTTTCAGCTGCTCTTATTTCAGGAGGGGTTGCAATTAGACACATAGTAGCAACTGCTTCTGCTTCTGCATCGGGATCAACATCACTTGAATTGGCATCATACTTGCTATTGCCTATAGAAAAAATTCAATGAAAACCAATTAGATGATTATAACTAAGGAGTAGGAACCTTTATAGTAATATCATTATCACATCCAATGACCTRGTAAGTAATTTTCTTTCCTACTTACCATTGATGCCTTTCAGAGCATAAGATCTAAAAAAAAAATATACAAAGTTGTTTTGTTAAATTCAATTTGCTAACATTCAAAAGAATTTCCCTTCATAGCAGATGAAATAAGAGTGGTTTACATATAAGTGGGAAACATAGGGTACTGAATTACAGTGCATGTACGTCTTTATAAAATGCCATAAAATCGAAATGGCTTGAACACATTGTCTTCAATTAATTCATCCAACCATAACCCCATGGTTACGGCTTTGATAAGATATGGTACAGATACAGTACAGCCACAGATTACCCATCCTGTTTCCCACTCAGATGAAAACTGGTCTATATAAGAACTGCAGTGGCTTCTGCCTGTTATTCAAAATAGTTTTTACATAAATATAAAAGTAAATAGTAGGTCACATGTACTCACTCATTTTGAGGTGAAGGTGGAGGAGTAGAGATCAGATGGTGGAAAGAATTGTATGAAGGTGTTTTTCTCAGAGCTTGGAGAAGGTTTGGCCTGTAGTCAGGATCAACAGTCCATAATGAACCCTTACCGACATTCTAGAAAAAACATCATTCAATATAACAACATCAATAACAAGAAAGATAATATCTTCAAGACAAGTTTATGTAGAATAAGTGGATATACTAATAAGCACTTGTATTTAGCCAAGAGTCTAAAAAGTAAGCTAGATGGTTCATCAAATAATTCAAATATTAAGGCCTTGAGGATTTGACTTTTCACGTTGTGACTTGTGAAATAACATACTTCCTCAGTGGTTAAGATATTTTTTCAACACCTACTGTATAGTTAATTCTCTAAATCCTATATTTACCACATAGGAGGTCTGCATTCAATAAAACTCTGATCAACTTTTAATATTGCTAATTCAGAGGTACTGTAGCAGTGGTCAAGGGTCATGATGATTGATTAGGGAGAATGTCTGGGTGAGAGTAGTCTTCAGAATGATTTATGTGTCTGGTGACTGCTACCCAATTTCAACTTATAAGCCAGAATTTTTCTTAATTAAAGCAGACAACCAAAAACTAGTGATACTTTTCATTTATGAAAATTTACATCATGTTTATTAGTCAAGATGAGAGGGCTTTAATTTGTTCAATGAGTCTTCATGGTGCTAGCTATACTCATCTGTGTCAACCAATATTCATCTAAATGTGCCAGATACTGGATTATAAATAGAAAAACAACTAATACTTACTTGTACACCACCTTTGAATTTGTCTACTTTCTTAAAACACTTGTTGAGGGACAAATTATGTCGCACAGAGTTCTTCCATCCAAGTCGTGCATCTCTGAAGTATGGAAATCTATCCATTATCCAGTTATAGATATCCTTAACTGGCAATCTCTTGTTTGGGGACTCTTCGATTGCCATGAAAATTAATGAAGAAAAGGAATATGGAGGCTTGGAAGGACTCTTCTGCTTGTTAGAAAAGTTATCACCATTTGTGGAGCCATTATGTGCAGCACCTGAATCAAGTTCATTGGGGAATTCACTCCCATTTTCTCTTTGAGGTGACATAGGAGGGACAGATGATCCAACATCAAACCCTCGCAACACATCATTACGGCTTAGCCAATTTAGACTTGTCAAGTCATTATCTGCATCCTTCACAGTCCTGATTGCTCCAAAGCAGCTGCTACTCAAGTTCTCTTTTTCATTTCCTAATTCTGTTTCTAAAGAAGGACCATTGACAGACCGGCTTAAATAAGGTCCTTGACTTAGCCGGGTCTTCACAATGTCAGACTTGCGAATTGGGGGCATTGTATCTGGAAAAAATAAAAATGTATTAGTCARGTACTCAACATTGTACACAGAATTTTAATTTGCTGGATATTTTAGATTATCAAGTTTAGGATTATTGACGATAGCACTTTACTTACTATGTCAACATAGAGAAATTGAAAAAAATAGAAAGACAAAACAGTCTTACTTAATCTTATAAATTCTAGTAAGAATATTATTTAACTGAACATAAAAATCTGTTAAAAAAAGTCAATTAACCCTATAGTTATTCCCCACTGGATAGCTACACACTCGGAGATAACACCATCTTAAACATATTCATTTAACATACTAACCACAAGTTTTATAACACAAAAATAAACAATTTCTGAGTATCAGTTATAGTTTGCTATAATAGTCACTCATAAGTAGATTTTACAAAAGATATGGCAGTTTTGTCTTGTATGATTTTTTTCTTGTCAGAAATTTTCCACTCAAAAACAGTATTACTTTTTGTCTACATCAAAAGCATAATAAATAGTCACACTTTGTTAAGTGAAGTCTGCGAAGTAAATATCTCCAGAAAATATAATATTCAATTACTACTTACTTCTAGCAATAAAAACTGATGTACAGCAATAATAAAGTCTGTAAGACATTAGTTAAGGAAGCCATATAATAAAGTTTTTCAAAATGCTATGTTTTTCATTTGTCATGTAATGGCACCTGTCTTTACTGGTTTCATGTCTTGAAGCTGTCTTACATCTATAACTGTTTGGTTTCTAGGGGAAACAGGAATTACAATTCAACAATTCTACTCCATAGCAACAGCTGCTTGCCTTAGCTTAGTTGATCACTGATTAAAAGAAGACCAAATGAGTTTAGGAAGAAAGCTAAACAGCTTGGACTCTTGAATATTCTATTCGCAAAATTTGGGATAACAAAGAGAGCCACTAATTTTGATTTTAAAAATGCTCTTTACTTAACTCTTCTTCGATATTTAGTTTTTTAACTAAGTCTTGATTGGAAACAAAAAGTTTTAAAAATGATAGAAACAGAAAATATACAACAAATATCTGTCTAATGAAAAATATTTGATTTCTAAGTATACAAAAACATAAAAAAACTAGTTTGATGTCTTATTTGGGAAAAGAATCATTTTCTAAATGCTAGATATTTATGATTGTTTTTCAACTTCCTGTATAAAAACTACAAAAACTGCTGTTTGAAACCAAAACATTGCAAATTTTATAGTAGAGTTGATAATCAAAATATACAAAAACAGGTACGGTTGAAAGTGTCAAGAAACTGTCAGCATAATTTACACAGATGTGCTAACACACATGGTTACATTGTGAGTTAAAACAGATAGTTAATGCTAGAGTTCTTTAGGAACAATCACCTTTTGCATATAGGCAGGAAACAATGAAATCACATCTTTATAATGTCAGAAACTAAGTTTGAAACCTTGAAGACAACCATTTTGGCAATCATTCCTTATACGTATATAGCATAGTTTTTTTAAGGAGGTGCACAGGCATTGTTTGCACACAACCATTCTAAGCATAAGTTTGGTGCATGCAAGCTCATCTGATGATGTCATTCAAATTTATCGATGGACAAAATATCAAGAAAACCCATTTTTCACTTCCTTATAACAAAATATCTTGGAAACCAATTGGGTGACCCCATTTTTCTTTGTCTTAAAATTATTAAGATACTACCAAAATCTACAACATATGCAAATCTAAAAAATTCTGATTGTTTTAATTCAGAAATGTTAAAGAAAGTCACATTTGATGGCCATGAATTTGCTTTCTGCATTTCTTTGATGTTTTAGATTTTTTTCAATGTGTTTCTTTAATACCTAAGGTAACTCTATAGTGCACGTTTTTTCCTTTATGAATATCAACATTAAGCAAAAATTTAAAACTTTAATTGTAACTTTATTTGCCTACCTCCTCAATGTTTTAAAAACTAAGAAAGGCCTAATTTTGTTTTATGTTTTCAATGTTCTTTGTTTTTTCTGTTTTCAAATTTAATAAATTAATATTAAAATTCAGATGAGAACTCGTTTATATTAGCTGTGGTTCGGTTGCCTTGGTTACTTGTTCACCAAATGCGTATAAATACATCTTTCTGATAATTATAAAGTTAAAACAGATTTATCTGCGAAAAAATATTTAAACTATATATGAATTCTCATAAATTTGATAAGATGAAAGTAATGTTTCAAAAGATAAACATTTAAGTAAATTTTTCTTGTTGCATGCCAAGGAAAATAACTATAAGCTGGACAAAGGGCCATTTACATAATATCTATTTCCTAAAAAGGGCTAAAAAATAGACATTATATCATTTATGAATTTGTAACTAGTTCAAATATCAAGAAAATAGTTGTATCCTAGTGATAATTAAAAACCACTTGGCTTAGGTCATTGTTGATGTATTTGTAATGAGAAATTCTTATCCAATGCTAGGCCCGCATAAGGAATAACACTCATTATAGACCTTGATCATGCATTAATGGCCCACTTCAATTTATTCCTTCTTAGACTTGTAGAAAGCAAGATACTGCATAATTAAACAAATTGGAAGTCATATCTGATTTTAGCAATCATTTCGTACTCTGATATGACATGTATGTTCAACAAGTTAAAAGCATCCCAAATCCAATTATTACACTAAACGAAAAAGAAAACAAGTGAATAATTTATGTAATAGCTAATCATTTGGAAAAAACAAGTAACATATTCAAATAATCTCTTTCAAACATGTTTGATCATGAAACACATATTCTTCATAAAACTGTATTGGAACATATGGCATAAAGATTCTATAATAATTCCACTTTCAAATTTTCCCTATCAACTCCACATGCTTTTTTAACAGCTTTCTTCCATCCACTAGAAATTATTCAAACATTCTACACTTACCTTTTGTTAATTTGTGGTAAAGATTAGTACACACATACACCTATTGCTAGCTTTTGGTGGTCTGAGAGTTAATACCTCAACATATGGTAAACACATAACTTCAGCATGAGATAAAATCTTTTGAAGCTCAAGCAGTAGTATGGCAATCCAACAGAGAACCAAAAACTACAATTTTCTACACAATTCTGAACAAACAACAATATTTTATAAACCAAAGCCTCTTATCACATGCTACCCTTGATCATTATCCAGCTGTAAACTAAAAGATATGAAAAATTCATGATGATCTTAATGCATATGGTAAGAAGCTCAAAATAACATTGGTATCCATAGTAACCTTAGGGTGGGCTAAAGGTAAAACCTATTATGCTAGAGAATATTTATCTGATCTTTGAGGTCTGATTTTAACTTTGTTGATATTAATTTTTTTGAAAAGTTAGAAAGTTGACAGTGATGCTCTGGTGAAAACATATCCAATTGACATGTAGATATATATGTTTTTGAAAGTTGTCCAATTTAACTTGATATCTTTTTACTTGTACTAATTTTAAAACCTATTACATTTATCAACTTTCACTGAGTGGAATTAAGGTAAACTTCCAAGTAAAGTTTATCTATATTTTTACTGTTTTTCCCACTTATTCATTCTAGTTTTTCCCCTTATAACTGACATGAAATTAATTCTAAAACACTATCTTTGGAAATCATATTACTGCTCATTTTTAATTAAAAAAATTCAAAATAAAATATATGTTGGCTTTATGAGTAAAATATAACAAAAACATTAAAACATCTGCAAAGAAACTTTGAAATAATAATGTTCCTTTAAATGACAAGACTAATTAAAACTATAATTTTCTAAAGAGCTTTGACTGAYACAACCAATATATTGTATTTGAAAAGAATGCACCATAAATTATAAATGATTAATATTTATATGGATTATGGTTTTCCCCTCTTATGAGATAAAAAACTAACATGCATTATTAAATGTTTATTATGTTTGTATAAATATGCACATTTACTCAATGGTCTTGTAAACAACTCGTAAACAATGATTGTCAAGTTTTGACCTCGTAAGTAAAGTATTGAAAACTTTACCCATGTAAAAAAAATGGTATCTACTTGGTTGGAAGCCAATGGAGTGCATTTGCTAGATAAGGAAACTCATTAGCTGTTGATTCAATATCAGCATATACAATTTCTTCCAAGCAGAATTTTTTGTAGCACATGTACACCATGTGCAACCTTCTCACAATAGGCCTGCAATTTTTTTCTTCATCTCGGAAAGGTCTTTTGAAAAATCAAGCGTTTTTCACCCAACCCTAAAAAACCCTTGATTTGGATTGATAAACAGAACAATCACAATCCTGAATATGAATCCTAAAACTTAAATTTGCAAAAATTCATACAAAGACTTTAATAACCATTTTTAGTGTATTTATGAAAACTCTACTGATGTCCATAGCAATGAGTCATGACAACGCCAAACAAACTCTTGTAAATAACAGAAATATGACATGATAAGCTTTTGCATAAACATCTTGTGTCCAAACTCGGTCTGTCTGTGATAAAGATTTCACGTTTTTTAACAATTAAAAAGATTCTGTTCGCTGTAAACATCTTAGGCTTTGAGTAAATAGACTACTTACTATGCAGTCCGGAATTTATGTGATTTAGTGTTTATCGACCCGCGAACAGGAGAAAATAAGATCCACCGAACAGCAGAGAATTCAATTGGAACTTTTATTTGCCTCGCAACATGCAAGATTTGGCGCGAACAAAGCCATCATGCAAATAAAAGAGTCAATCGTCTCCTAGGAACTATGTAAACTCCCAACCAGTCTGTTCGTAATTAAAACTCCGGTTTCTTTCGCATTTGGTTTTAAAAGCATTCAGTATCTCGAAAAAGGCCTAAGCGTTAATCGATATGGAAGAGAATGTGGATAAAAGAAAAATTATCTCCTGGATTAGGACTAAAATCGGAAATGTTTTACACTCAAATAGATTTTAAAAGATCATTGGAAGCCATTTCAACATATTGTTTCTAGAAACCTCTGAAAATGAAATCAACAAACGCGTGTAGGACTAGAGTTAATGTTTTATATTTTTCTTTCCATTGACTGAGTAATTAAGATAGAGAAAATCCTGTTAAAATTGTCTTCCTGGAAGAAAGCAGATTTCAGAGAAATTGTGGCTAATGTTAACAGCAATTAAACTGAACGAGATATTTTAAATTAGTGTGAACAGACGAAGTCCGGCTAGCTATTAACCTAACAAGAATCAAAAAAGAGAGGGTGTTGTTTTGATTAAGGTTTCTTTTTCACTCTTTTCTTCCACTAAAAAACCCCAGCCCAGAAAACTAATTCGATGGTGTCGTTGAAAGCGAAACAATTTGACAGATCGCTTTCAGATAGCTTTATAACGAGCAAAAATCTTATATCCCCCTGCCAAATACTTTTGTAAATCCCATTCTTCCAATAATGACTGAGTTATTGGACACAACTACAAAATCTCTCTTAACTGTGAAGGCTAATAAAGGACTACTTTTAGAGTCTAACAATTACTCGAATGTAAACAGAGCTGGGCCATAACGGAGATTCGTCACACTCCACGTGCACTCCATACAAGGCTTTAGAATGGCTTCTTTCAACTATCACAATAGACCGATCTCGATAAGTGTATATCGCAAGGTCCAAATTTAGCAACCAGATCAGGTTGCGAATTTAAAATTCTCTTCCGAGAAAATTCACAGTGCAAAAGGGCATATGGTGTTGTATAGAATTTCATGAAAACCAAAATAGAGTGGTTCTAAAGTGTAATTTCTTACATCATAATCAAATGTTAAAAATCGTTGCCGTGAATATTCCGACTCGAAACGTGGTTCATCATTAATTCATTCGCATTTAAAATCTTTTTCATATTTCTTTGACATTGCGACTGATCGAGTGGCAAACTTCAAAAGTTACACTTCCTTTTCAACATAGATTTCAAAAGAAAGTGAAATAGTGAAATACAGGGCTGAAGCGAACGAATATGTAGGGGCAGAACTGACGACGGCACTCAAAGCATGAGTGATTCGAGGTGTTTTAGAAACAGTTCGTATTTATGGCAAAATTGAATAGCGTTGCCCACAGGGTAAAGAAATAAAAGGTTTATTCAAAACATTTTAAAAAAAGCTGAGCACCAGGCTGATTCAAGTTAAAACAGATATCAATTCGATGTTTTCGAAAGGGTTTGATTTTCTAAGTCGTGTGATGGTTGCATTTATATCTGTTCAATTGAAAGACACAATTATTTTTTTAGATGACAATAAATCTAATAAGAATACAATAAATCGCCATAATATTCTATGTATTCTTCGCTATCCCCAAGGGTCAAAATATTCTTCCAAGGAAAGTACTTTTTTGGGTTGAATTTAAAATTCACGAGTTTGGTTGTTATGCCGACATGAACGCGAACCAGAAGGAAAATATTAAATCACACTTTCTACATCAAAAATTCGAAAACAACGTGCTCTCGTTAAATGAACGCACATGTTGTCACACAAAGGAGAACGTGTAGAGTAGTTCTTATGGGCTTAATTTGCTTCTTTTCTAAATCAAAACTGGCTTCAATCTAGCATACGTTCGTTCTCAGAGATTTGATATTGCAAAGCTTTTCAAATCAGCAGTGCGAACTTCATTGGTACATGAACAAGCACAACAACCGTGGGCAGTGACACAACAGTACTACCAATTTTATATCGAGTCCTTGTGATTATTTACTTCGTGAGACAGCGCTATCACCTTCACGTCTAAACTCTCTAGTAACCCTCAGTAAAAAACATTATTTCACATTCGTCTTCAAGTACCCGCTGTATCCCTCACCATTTCAACAACAACATGCAACGTGGCTTAGGTTTTACGCCTATTCACACACTGATCATATGACAAGAATAAAAATATATTTGCTTACCAAAATTATTAAATGCTTCTTTTCAATGCATAGTTCTTCATCTTTCCACGTCTGTGGTACTGGAGAAAATACTGCTGAAACAGAGAGAGGAACAGCAGTGAATTACCACACTGCAAAACAAGAGAAGGCAACTGAAACAAGTCTACCTTCGAATCTAAAGGCAAAATGACGACATCGTAATAAATGTATCAGTTTAAGGGCCTAATTTACCCCTGATGAAGGCTAGAATATTCGCAGTTCTTGTCAGAATTGTAGTTTGAACCTCTACCAATAACACGGGCGATATTTGATGCAAACACGACTCGATAGCGCTAACAGCCTCAAATTAGAAAGTAAACGTAAGGAAATGAAATGGTGCTCTTTCCAAAAGAAGGCTCCAACTGGCGTGGGAGGGCGGTTACCATAGCAACGTCAAGCTTAAGTCACGTTTCTATAGAAATAAGCGTCCAAAATCTTTTGCCGCCAAATTTGCAAATTTCGAATATTGGACTGATGTGACGAAAATAAACCACAACTCACGAACAGATAGTAAGACTATTTAATCCCATACTGATTTTTGATAAAGTAAAAACATGATTTGACAAACGTTTGAAGGTTCTAATTTTCAGTGTAAGTCGTCACATTTTTTGATATAGCACACGCTGAGCTCGTAAACGAAAGACAAAATTAACCGTTGGTATGTATAAGGGTGGTCTTTAGTCAACGTTGGTCATGCTGTTTCATATTTTATCCTAACAAAAGTACGAGGAATAAATTTTACGCAAGACTTTCTGTGGAACGCATCAGTAATTCCTTTTAGGTCCTCTGAATGATGTTATTTCAACGGTCGTTTTCTCTTTCGTTATCAAACAAATCAAAATCATTTTTAACTGAAATGAAAAAGCCGACAAAGAATTTTTCGTACATTGATAAAAAAGACTTGAAAAACGAAAAAGATGAAAAGCAGAATCGAATAAACTGTACCGAAACGTACAGCAGTTCTATGGCCAATATTCAGACAGGCAAGCCATCTTTGGAAATTTATTCAATACCATCACTAGAATGTTTTAAATTTTTGATGAATGGTTTCGATTTTGTTGACCAAAGCTGAAACCGGCTTGCTTTTTAAATTCACCCCCATAAGCTGCGGTTCTGGTATCTTGAGATAGACTAAAAATTCGCTAAATGTACAAAGTATCCAAACCACATGTTTCTGTTATTGTCTTCTATAAGTCATAACACCACCTGCATGACAAAGCCATTATAAACTTACAACTAGTTATTGCTAGTTCGTGCAAAAATGCTGCTGTTTCTATGGCAAAGAGACGCAAGTCCGAAACTTTCGTACCAAACAAAGTTCCGAACGAATAATTTTGCATGAACCGCTTAAAAACGTCTGACGCGCAATTATATATTTTCTTGTTTTTTTTTTAAAGACGTTTTTTTAAGGCTTTATTTTGAAAAACAACTGGCATGAACCAGTTTGACAAAATAAAATAAAACATGTAGATGGCTTGCGCGCAATAAGTTTCATCACTTAACTTAAGAAAAGACGTGTTATATAATTTCCATTGTAATCAATAATACCAAATAGGCTTGCTACACTGATTATTGATAGAATATAACTAATAGTTTCAATCATCAATGCCAATACATTACTGAACTGAGAAGCATAAATGACAACTTGCCCTTAAAGAAGCAAAGGAAGTGCTTCTAAAACCCCACATATTCAGAGCAAAAAATAATTAGTGGTAATTTTAACGACTTTCCTTGTTTATGTGTCCAAATTTCAAACAATCAAATTCCAACTTGCTTCGTTTTATTTTACATTTTGCCTAAGGGTATGATTGAGTGAGTCACATTAATATTCTACACCGCAACCCACTGGCTTATCGTGAAGAGCATTTTGTTCAAAATTTTTGTCTTCGCCAACTAAGCAAGGAAACAGTCCATTAGATTTGAACTCAAATGCACAGGCCGAGAGTTGTTGTTTTACATCGCTAAAATGCTTTTTATCTTTGTCAAAATATTTTTTTTTGAAAATCGTGTTTGTTACTCGCGTGATACGAAATTGGCACACATCGAATGTAAATTCGGTGAAATCTTTTGAAACAATCAACAGAATCCTTTTTTTCGCTACGATAGGTTGCGTCGTTTTCTCAGCAGTCACCATGCAACACGAATTCTTTGAGGCGTGGAGGAACATCACGAATAATCTAAGTAATGGCCAAATGGGAAAATATATAGCCGATCTGAAATATAAGCGCGTCAAGTAATAGAAAACCTTCACTTGATATTCCTTTATGTAAAGAAACTAAGCTATTTTAAGCATATAATTCGTACAAATTATATTCTTATGTTTAAAAAGCAGTTGAGCGTTGTTTACGAATGAAGGCCAAGGGAATGACGTCTCGGATAATACTGGCCCTTTCGACCGATACTTTATGACTCTCGTTGCAGACAATCAGTTAACTTTGGCTACACACCGTTGATCTTTTTGTCTTTTCTTTTTTAATCACAGCAGACTAGCTAGCCCTTGAAAACAACAAACTTTGCTAATGGCATTCAAAAATCAAGCTGTCTCAACTCTTCATGGGTGTGTTGGATGATTCATAATTTATCCGCTCTGTATGTGCTTCAATGGATGTTGAGCTTCAACATCATCACCTACGCTTATTAAAAATACAGTTCTTATCAAACAAGAAGGCTTTTCATAAGCATCCTTCACTGTGTTATTCACTTTTGAAGTTTTATATTTCATTTAATGGGTTTCAAAGAAGGCGACGTTATGGCTGAGAGCAGCAATGCATATCTTTCTCTCCAGTAGCTTGACCATTCTAGACCCTTCTATTTTAATAAGCTCATTTGACCATATCTTCAAGCAAACAAGCTCAGTTCCTTTAGCTAGGAACCGTATCAAGTTGGACTGGACAAAATTGCGATAATTAAAGTTTAACTTTTGAGTGTGTTTCTGCCGGAGTAGCTAGCTAACTACTACCGGATTCCGTTTACTTTTAAATCTCATTTAACTCATTCCTAAAGCAGTTAACGATTGACAAAAATTGAATTTTTTTTTCACCTCGAGCCAGGTCTAGTACCTTAATATGCTTTGTGTCAGTAAAAGGTTCTTTCTTTTTYGTTTTAGGAAAAGGCTTGACATTCAGAACGGTTTGATCAAAAATAAACATTTGTAACTTCGAAAGAATGTAAAAACTTCCTTCCTTCGATGGAAGTGAAATGCCTTTGAGCATGATCACTTACGCATAGGAATGACTCATCAATATTGATCGCAATAAGAAAAACGATAATTATCATTAATACTAACAGAAAAGCATTACTAGTAAGTCAGAAATCTCGTCTATAGTAAGCTAGAGTGACGGACTAGTTTGAATCATAGTTAATAGTAACTATGTTTGAATGAAGTGAAGTGAAAGCGAGTGAACATTCCAGTGAAATAGTTGTGTTGAGCTATTACACTTACACATGACATGCTATTCAATTCTATTCCCACTGATTTATTACGATTAGTCAAAATGCTCTCTTTTCCTCTGAGTACACAAGACCACATTTTTAGTCTATCATGGGCGTAGCGCTAGCTAGCGTAGGCATGTTTACAGTTTAAATCATTGCTAGGGTAACGGCTGGTTTTAAATTTATTGACGGCCACTTTTTGCCTAGCCTGCCTTGGCATGATGATATCACTTCCAGTCTTGGCAATTATATAACTCTTTGAATCCTCTTATGTCTAATGAAAAGTGTAGACGCAATGTCGTAATTTGAAATTACCTTAATGTTTTCAATATAGAACCGCATAGCCTGGTATATACTTCGTTACCATTACTTTTTCGCATGAGTAGCAATAGTGGCAATAGAAGTAGTGGTGGTGGTAGCTGAAGTAATGCGGATAATGTTATTTAGTATTGATGATAATGGTACTGAGTGGAAGAGAAAGATATAGTAAAAGTGTTAGTGATAATGGAAGAGATAGTGGTAACGAAAGAAGAAGTGGTACTGTAATTAGTGTTAAGAAGGAGTAGTTGTGGTGGTAGTGGTAGTGGTAGTAGTAGAAGTAGTGGTAGACCAAGGAGTGGTAGTGGCAGTTGTAGTGGAACGTGGAAGCTGTTGTAATAAAAGAAGTAGCCGTTAGTTAGAAGTGGTAGTTAGTGGTAGAGGTAGAGGTAGCGGTTGCAGTGGTAGTGATAATGATAATGATAATCGGATAGTGGTAGTGGAAGAAGTAGTCGTAAAGGAAGAATTAATGGCAGTTGTTAGTGGTAGTGATATGATATGATATGATATGATAGTGGAAGGTGATATCTGCATGGTAAGATCCGCAGGGTAAGGAGCAATCGAAACTTAAGGGTTGAGAGGTAGAGGGAAGTATGTGGGTTTTGGACGACACTTTGGCCACAATCTAAAATATTTCTTAGTAAAAAATACTTAGTTAAAGGAAATCATGAGGAGTGCATTCTGTTTCATATCAATAATGATTATACAGTGATATGCACTGCTGCGGCGCTTTCTCGCTATTCAATGGATTGCTGATTCGCTGCTCCATCGTGTTTCCTCCCTCCGTAACAATCGACACGTGGTCGTATAGAGAGCTGCATGTACAGAATTTTTTGAAATGACATAGAATTTTCAATGTATAGACGGGTAGTGTGTGTAAATTTCACTGAAAAAAAGGGTCAAAAATATTTTGCCACAAATATAAATGTTCTCGCTTTCTGACCGTTCGAGAGCTGAAATCAGGTCGGCTTAACATTTTGACCAACTGTTGACGTCATATCGAGGCAGATAAGAAAACATACCACGCAAAACAATCGGAAATTTGTTAAGTTTGCAATTTTGGAGAATTACTCCGGTAGGGAGAGGGCATCAAAAATGAGTGGCTTGCCTGTAAAGACCTGTAAAGGAATAATCCACACTTAAAACCTTTCCTTTGAACCCACTATAAATTATGAACGCTTCCTTGAAAACAACATGATAGTGTTACAATGGATTCAATGTCTGGTACCTGGTCAATGACCAGTAACGTTGTATGGTGAAACCCCCGTATCAAAACCATAGATCATAATCAGTCCAGAATTTTAACATGTAAAATAAACCGCGTAACAATTTACCAACTTCTGCATGTGTTCCGATTCAGTTAGACCGAAGAAGAAAACTGTTGCTCCGTAGTTGGTTTTTTTTTTTTCTTTTTAAAAAACTTGGCATCTATTATCATTGAATCATACTTGAATCTATATGATGTGGTTATAAATAAATTCTTCACATCCAATATTCAGGCTTTTTGCATTGGTTTTCTTTTCGGTAATTTATGATAATCTACAGTTTGTGTTATATTTTTCTTCAGTATCTGAGTACGAGATCAATGAGAAAGTTAATTTACGGTGGCAATATGTTTGCGGTTATCGTAA